TTCTGGTTCATCATCGAAGGATCGATGCAACAAACCGAACGCCCACATGTCCGAGATCACGCGACTTTACCTCATCATCCGACTACACTACAAAGGCCGGCCGGACATGCCGTGTGTTACACAGGGCGCCCATAGGGGCCGACCGTGATTTTACCACATCATCCGGCTACACTATGAAGGCCGGCCGGATACGCCGTTTGTTACACATGACGCCCATAAGGGCCGGCCGTGATTTTATCTCATCATCCGGCTACACTATGAAGGCCGGCCGGACACGCCGTTTGTTATACATGTCGCCCATAAGGGCCGGCCGATCCAAGGGCCGAACTTAGGAGACCAGCCGGCCATACTGCTAATTCGTCTGGTTTAAGGTAAGTGGAGGTTAAAAGCTATTGGGCTGAATTTGGGCCGTGATTAACTTTTCACTAATCCCAAGCCCATAGCGAAAACTATAAATACAGATCCAGGGTGAGTGGTAGATAGGTTGCATTTACTGCACATTTATTACTAATCGATAGAAAAACGTCATTGCTCCTTATAGTAATAGCTATGAAATTGATGTTACCAATATTCTCAAAATTGCTTAAAGAAGTTGGGATGTGCCAACCAATGCCATTCTTGGCATCTCAAACCTTAGATCCAAAGTGACACAAGATGAGCCAAGATGCTGAGACATAGAACTATTAAAAAGCCAAGCATCATTCTAGAAATTAACAGATTTGATAGAGGGCTACCTCCTCAAACATATATGAGAAGAACTTGAGGAAGAACAATTGCAATTCAAAGGATCTATGATAAGGTCCAAGATCAAAACACGTATCCTTCAATCTTATAATGTTCCACGAACGGATTTAAAGAACATGAAGGATTTCTTAAATATATACATGTTGGGCAACCTAATTTGTGTTTGCTGGACGACCACGCCTTGCCAGGCAAAAATTTTGCATCTGTAATTTTCATTTTCTGTCATTTTTATGTGTTTTGGGCTTTGGGCTTTATTTTAGGGTTTGAAGGATTTCTTAAACTTATGTACCTATATATAGAGGTATCAAACGTTAATGTAAACACTTTTAAGTCATATTATATGCATTTACATTCTTGAGAGACGATTCTCTTAGTTCTTGGAACTCTGATTCTTATCAAAGATTAATATCTTTGTGGCGAATCTTCACTAGACTTATCAATCTTCTAGATTGTAGCGTCTCTATCTCTATCTTATTCTGTATTCTTTTCTGATTTATTTTTATTGTGCCTTCTGAGGATTCAGATTCAGAAAAGATTTCCTTGACAGGATCGTATCAAGATTGATCATCACCAATGATCTATTTAGAATTTCGGAGAGAAAAAATCATTCCAATCACTAATACTAGGCCAAATAGATGACGGCTAATATAAAAATACAGAATACAAAGACAGCAAGGCTAATATAAAACTTCCTAAATGCATCAGGAACAATCACAGTTTTAACATTCTTAACAAGTAAACTAACCTTCAGCAGTCCTAATTCAAGTATAAAACCCATTATCATTGGTACTGCAGTAAAAACGCCAATCTGAACCAAAAATTGAGCATTCAAAGCTGCATCAAGTGCTGTGTTACCCGCCAATTTTGCCTTGTCTGAGACAGCTTCGTCAAGACCAGAAAATGCCTGAAAGAGGAAGCATCATCAAGGAAGAAAATCAGTTTTTAAGTAAAAGCGAAATTAGAAAAATTGTGGAGTTTAGATAAATTTCAGCAAATTATTCACAATTGTGGATATAACACGCAAACCAGATGAAAATGAAATCTTTACCTAACTATTAATTTCACAACGCTAAAAGGTGACTAAATAATTAAACTTGCAAATTGTTGCATTAGGACTAAATTGCCGATATACAAGTCAGTGCAAAGATAAAAAAGTAAGCATATCTGCTACTAAATTGCCGATATACAAGTCAGTGCAAGAGTGATTTTAGTACTACAGAATAAAGCGTGAAGCCAAATTAACAGGTAACCTAGCATTGAATTTTATGAAAGTCTCCATCCAAATGAATTCCAATTTATCTTGCTCAAGTTCATGAATCCAATGCAATCCACAACGACTTTTACCATAATTGTAGCTCCATATATGAAGTATATGTCACGTAATCATCAACATAGAACTAATGGTTGTTATTCCTCAGCAATAACGTATTGTATTACACTAGTCAAATGATCACCCAAGTTCTGAAATCTAATAACTGAAAATAATTATATTGAATGCCAGGAATAATTTCACGAATAATTACAGTAACAGTTTTATTAATTGATCACAAAAAACAAAAAAATAACATGGTATGCAACTAACATCATATATAATTATGCATCTAAAAAATACACCCGTTTTGGGAACAATAGTTGATGTTCGAGAATCATTTAGTTAATGTAACTTAACTAAATGATTACAAAAATGAGATCCTAAGGGAGGGAAACACACTCTCAAATTTATTTTAATATTCTTGTGTATCTTTCTCAAGCCTAACAAGTTACAAAGAAAGAAAAGATCATATCAGAAAATTTACATAGAAATAAAAGCATCAACTTATTTATGTAAAAAGCAAGCCAATAATTTTATCGGTGTAGAAAAGGAAAATTGATAGAGGGAAAGATAGATATCAAATAATCAGGAGGATATTATTTAAATCCTTCTACAGTACGGTAATACAAGAATGCAAAGCAAAAGGAGTCCAAAAAGTGGTGCAAAACAGAAAGATAACTGAACAAGTCCTGTTGAATTACCAGGTATGCTCTTCCATATAAGAATACATATACGGTAAGAACTGTCATCTGCAAGAATAAAAATAAAATTTATTAGGCAACCAAGACAAATCAATGTTACTCATTTTCAACCAAAAATTTCAGAGCCTAAGAACTATACCATGGTGCAGACATAATAACCCACAGTTGTGAAGAAGAAAGAAAGCATTCTGAAGAAATCAAAAAGTTGTCCAAGCCTGTAAATGTCCCTGCTAAGAACTTGCTCTCCATTACCACCAGCCACTTTTCCCTCAAAGAGTGCAATCTGATTTAACCCAACATCCCTTCCTTTTCCAACCTACAGAAGATATCGGTTAGAATAAGAGAAAGAAGAGTAACACTGAACCAAATGCAGAAAGCATCCAATAGCTACGTATATTTTCAACCTGAATGTATTCATGGTGTGTAATATTTCCAAGCCGCAATGTGGAGTTGAAGCCTGTAGTATACCAAGACTTGAATCCATAAGCTTAATTACACAAAAAGTAGGACAACATAAAACTAAAAAGGCACTAGGAAGGTAAAAGAGTTCAAAGTAGAATATCATAACCATTGTGCCTAACAAAAGGTAATAAGAGACAAGCTCCAATCCTATGCATTTTATAATATATTTTAAAAGTATATCATGAATTTGATAGCAATTACTTATTGACTACCTTTGTTCATGCTATTTTTTTATTTTATTTCATCAAAATTAAAAACTAAAGTGAGAGGTTTAGTGGCAAAGTCTATGTTAGAAGATATAAAGGAAGCAGGTAGTCATAACCTCCTGCAGTTGTGTTGTATAACAGACTATTATATATGATCTATTTTGGGTTTTTGTATGTAGTTTTGGAGTGTTTTGTAAAGGGGAAGAGTTAGGAGAGACAGGTCCTCTCAAAAGACCTTGAGTGTTGTACGTGGTTGTTCCTATTCTTACCACATTGGTAAGAATTCAATGTTTCTAGTAAAACATCCAAGAATCTGACTTGGAATTCTCTAGAAATTCTGGATACCTATCACAAAGCCTTTAAGTTCAACGAAAGATTAAATTCTATTTTTAAGCCTGATAGGATTTAATATGATAGGTTATAATGGGTATTAGGTGTGCAGGAGAGAGAAAACAGTTGAAGAATTAATTGTTCAGTTTAGGAATTAATTGTTGTTGGGTAGTTAGAAGTGGTCTGCCTTTATAAGAAGGCAAGGGAGGGTCTGGTAGAGGAGGAGTTTTTGGATATCAATTGTATAGACAGGAACCTTGATCCTGTGGAGGGGGATTATGCTCCCAGTTACTGGTTGTACATGACATTGGTTGATGTGAATACATATTTTCATTCTTTTCTTACCATTTGGGTGCTATTGAGTGAGTGTGTACTGTGAGACAGTTAGGTTTCATACCCAGAAACCTAACAAAGCCAGTTTTTATATGTAATTGTTTCCCAAGAGTTTTCATGTTCTTCCTGTAGTTTGTGATTACTGGATTGGCATCCTCATGATCAACTTACTTTTTGGGACTCTATTGGTGTTTTCCTCAAATGACAAACACATCTTAAGTAGATTCTCTCATGTTTTCCTTAATAGGTACACTTTAAATTTCTATCTGTTCCTGATCTTATCTTTTTTACCTTGATTGCCACTCATTCAAAATAGCATTGATCATTGGGAAATACAGTTTCCTTTTGAAAACATGATTTTCATAAAAAATATGGCAGGTATCATTGTAATAGGTTAGTTCTTAACTAGATATGAACTTAACTGACCCGATAATACCCTGTTATGTATGAAAAATATTATATCCTAATATTCCATCAGATTTAAAAGAACACAACATGTCTTAAGATGAAAAATTCAGGGTGACCTAAAACGAAAATAGATCACAACATAATTCTTACCAGCATATATATCTTCACTAATATTAATAACACGGGATGCCTTACTAATCCCTCCTCGAGTTATGTGAAATATTCTGTCAAATACATCTGGGTGTCCATAGTGCATACGAACTCTGAAATATTTTTATTCCCAATTAAGAAAAAGGATGAATTGATTCAAAAGATCTACAAAAATGCATTGCTTCATACAATATAAAATTGAAAATGAAGATATCGCCATATCTTCTACTGGAATATCTTCTACTAAATCAATGCATAACACCATTGCTGATTTCACGGTGTTAAAATATTTTGGTGATTAATACTTGGCCTAGAAAGCTTCTTTTTTAATAGGTACCAACTTCATCTGTACAGGGGTGTTTAGCTTCTTTTGAAGCTTGTCGTGTATGATCACATAAATATAGTTTAAAGCAAAATAATATTCAGCCATGTACTTTAGGTAATTGGATTGTAATTTCACCAAATTAATGCATGAATAAATGGCATCGTTACAATGTTATGCTTGTATAAATCCATAGGCATTGTTGGTTATAAATGTCAAGATATATTATGCTATGAATTGGCCAGTTTTAAATAATGAGAAAATTTTGCTTTTCCATTGATAATCAACCGCAAACTAAACTTACTTGAGAGGATTGGCTAAAACTCGTTGTGCCAAGGTTACAAAACTAGTTTCTTGATTTGACATGAACCAAGCCAACGATGAAACACTGCAGCAGGTATGAAGCAAGCAATATATAATAAGAAAGATAAAGACAGTGAAACCTCAATAGTGCCAACTTGTTTATCAATACATAAATGTCAATGCCAAACCTTCCTGTAAAAACATGTTCCCTTACTCCAAGTATGCTTGGAGGGCGAAGGCCATGATTCGCATGAAACTCCTCCAGAAGATTTCTCATTTTCATTGCTTCCTCAAGATAATTGTCCTTCAAAAATTCAAATTATCAGATTAAATTACATAAACTTAATTTCCTCAATATGAAGTTCATTTACAACAGTCTGGTTAATGACATATTTTGCCAAATCAAACAAATACAGAGAACGTACTGTACTTTATAATATGTTCAAGTCTTTAAGAGAAACATATGATTAAGAAAACACTTTTTGTATGGAATTAAGTGACAGAAATGCTAATTTAAAATATGAATACAAGTAATTTAAATATTCAATAATTGAACAGTGCAATCAAATAAGAAAACTTTAACCAGATTTTATATAGCTAATTACGCCTTTTGAAATTTATAGTGGAAAAACAAAAATATGAAAATTTAGATGAAAAGAAAAGTCTATAATTAAGACATATTTCCAACATGACAAAACATAGAGCTAAAAAGGGCTTTGCCTTATGTCCTTTTCATCTATCCTTGTACAAAAATTTAAAACATCTTGCAATAAAAAAATGTATAAAAGATGGCAAAGAGAACACAAAAACAAATGATCATATGAGAAATGTCTTCACCTGATTCATGTCAATAGTTTGAACAGCTTCACCACGAGTGAAAATTATCGCGTGGTTTTGATTTTCAGGTTTTCCTTCTCCAAGCTTTGGATCTCCAGGAAGTTTAATAGAATATATTTCCTATGTACAAGGTGAAAATAAAGAACATGTTATAGAAATGAAAACCAAGACAACAAGACAGTAAAAAATAAAATATATAAAACAAAACTTGAATTTTCTTCAATTAGAATGGAATAATAACTACTAATTGACAAAGCAAGAATATGATATCTCAGACTAGTATATATAGTTTTTCTCTACCTGATCTTTTCCATTTATATCAGCTTTGACAAGCTTTGAATAAAACACTTTTGAACTATTTGCATCAGATGGTTCGTCAGAATGAATAAAAGCAACTCGAAGTGCCTCATTCCTGATATTGAATAAAAAATCTTAATGTTACATAATATATAGCACCAAAAAGTATTGAAAAAAAATGAAAAACTGAAATTGTAATAAAGAAACAGCTTATTCTTGAAAAAGAAAACAAGAGTTCCATTCTATTCCTTTAAATATAAGGATTGGTCAATTGTCCTCACTTTACAAAATCTTTAGTTTAGACCCTAATCTTGCAAAATTCATTTATTAGAAACAGAGAGTGATAATGCATTACTTGAGAAAATAAAAATTACAGAAGAAAATAAAAATTACAGAAAGCTGAGTTATCTTATTGATGGAACATAGTTCTCTTTAAGCCTAACTCAACGTTACAAAATTAGTTTGTAAGGTGAAATTTACAAGTACTGATATGCTATAACTTTGTGTTACGATCTAAGGTAGGGGTAATAATAAGGGTTGGAAAGTATATAAGCAGAGATAATATTTAGTATAAGTTAATTAGAGTAAATAAATATAGAATAAGTTAATTAGAGTAAATAAATATATATTTAGGGAAATATTCAATATAAGATATTTATAATTAAGGTTATATGCTAGGATAATATACGGAGAGATATTTATATTAAATATAGGGATATTTATATTAAATATTAAATATAATGATATTTATATTAAATGCAGATATATTCTAGAGATATATTTAATAAGAGATGGGCGGGAAATAATTAATATAAATAAAGTTAGAGTCTAGAGTTAAGGACAGGTTTTTGATTATTGAGTTTTGTGACAGACATTATTGTCTTGTGAGGGAGGTTATGCTCCCAAAGTAATTGAAGGAGGTTATGCTCCCAATTATTGTTTACCCTTGTTTATTCAGATATTACCATCAATAAAAGAGATCCATTCATCCATTGTTATTCGTTTATTGTTCTATTACGTGTGAGAGAGTGTGAAAGGTTGTATTTGGCTAGTTTACGTACTCAGGTACGTAACACTTTGTCTTATCCTTAGTCAATGTGAGATCTCCAACACATCACCCGCACACCAAGGGCATTTACATATAGAAAGAGAAACTAGATATTAATGGGTTGTCTAATAGTTGATGAGACGATGGACTCAACAAGCAACAATCTCAATAGGATAGGTTTCAGATGGCTTGATACCATTTTAAGAAGAAAACCTTAAGCCCAACTCAACCTTATAAAACTGATTTGTAAGATGAGGTTTACACCCACTACTACACAGTAAATTCACCTTATTTCTAGATGATGTGGGATATCTAATAGAAATAAAGATGGAATGCACTACAAGGTTACATGGAGAAGGTTCATCTCTTTTCCTCTTGTGTGGCTTGAGCATGGATGCAAAAGTGTTCCTTTTCAAAAGATATAATAAAACCAAAAAAACATAAAAGACCAAATGCTCCATAGAACATGATCATGTTGTGTCACTCATATCTGCTGCAATAGCAACTTCACTTTAAAGTGCAACACTATCCTCTACAAGCACTATTGACTACTATAGAGAAGTTAATCTCACACATTTTTTATTATCTCTAACAGTTAAGCTACGCAATGCTATAGTACTGCTATACAAGATGAAAACACTAACCTACTGCTGGACAAGATCAAGAAAATGTATAGCATTCATTCTCTATTGTTCTGTGAACAAATTATGTTCTTATTATGCAGATCAAAGACTACAATGGAGTGTTTATAGAGTCAGAGGCTACAACTATCAATGCTAATATCTCAAGGGCAAGAACAAATAAAATTTCAGTGATAGTGATTCCACATAAAGTTCATACCACTTAGATAAAATATGAACCCTATGAGATGACCTTTCAATAATATCCTTCCAAATTAGAACAACTTCCACTATAAAATAATAAAATTCTTAAGCAGCCAAATTAAGAAGTTCAGTGGTCCAATGCTTCCTCAAAACACATGAAGAGGTAAACAGCATGCAATCCCGTAAATAACATACATTCATATTCTTAGAGAATTTACTTGATTAGCACTTGGAAAAAATGAGCACAAAAATTTATACCTCTGTAACAATAAAGCAATATCTGTAGCCTCTGGTGCCTTCCGCTGCTTTTGTAGACCATAAATTTGGCATGATACAACATAAGTAAACTTCAAATCTGCTTGTGCCCGTGATTCACGAGATAATTCAAAATCTTGACTTGTAATGAAGTTGTTTTGAGGATAATTGTCCACTGTTGATACAATAGATTCCCAGAAAAATATCTATGTCAAACTTCATCAGAACCAAAATCAGAATAACATACTGCAGTCCAGAAAATCCATATTCAAATACCTCCTAGTGATCTGCTCTCCAGAAAACTCTGCAGCATTAAAGCCCTCCTATAGTACATCATACCACGCACTGGAAATACAGTAATCATGCCTCAACTTATGTCTTACGAAAACAGAAAAGAAAACAAATAAGAGATTCTAGGATTTTGTGACCTGTCCTAGCAAGAGTCTGCCCTCGATAAGAAGCCCAAAAACGAAGTTCCAAGGCATCACTGGAACTTTCTTGAAGTTCTGCATCCCCAGTGGATGCTCCTCGACCAATTCGTTCAAGAAAGTTTTCCCATTCATCTAAAATACAAAATTATTCAAACTCAATCCCATAATAACATGATTCGAGATGAAGAAATAATGAATGTATAATCATGATAACTAGGGCCTAACAAGTGTCCTGAACTTTGACATGTGTTTATTCTTTGTGAGGAGAGAGGATACAAGGACAAGACACATTACCTGGAAATATCTTTTGAAGATAGAAAAGAGTAGATATTCCATCTTCGTTCTCCTTTTGCAATTCGGAAGTACCGTAAAGCACAGTTTCGCTATAGTATGGAGTGAAAACACTATACAAAATAAAAAACAAAAGGAAAAGGTGAATATGGAGGACAAGAAAGAAGTAAAAGAAAATTCACTGCAAACCTTATAGATGCACATGCGTATACCTGAACGGCAACATTTCACTAACAGGTTTTGCTGAAGGCATATCCATAAATAATGAATTTGTGAAAAACTCTAATCTTCTCCTGGCTTCAAGATTTTTTGGAATATTTGCAGCTGAATCCTTTACTGTAAGAAGAAGATGCAACCGCTTCACAAGCTCTTTCTACAACCAGAAAAATTACTTTAATGTATTTAAATTTATAAAAAAAATGAATTGAATGCAAATTGAATGAACTTACAATTTCAGGATCATTAGGCCAAATTATCCTAGAAAAAAGTCGTCCCTCGTCCCTAGCTCTGGCTAAAAGGTTCCATGTATCAAGATTCTCCCTGGAAAATTAAGAAGTTCACAAGTTCAGAAATAAGGGACAGAATTAGTATTCTCATCATCTAAGTTAAAGGTTGGTTTCAATTTCATCAGCTAACTTTTTCATATCATTTCTGTCCCTCTATCGTTGTGTTTCACACATTAGTTTGCAAGAACCTCTTTGGAAATTGTGTTTTTGGTAACAGCAAACTGGGTCATATTCACACATCTGATACTCGAACAGTAAGCCATAACTTTAACGTAAAGGTTGTATACTAGACAAGAGGAAGCACCAGCTAATTCGATCAATTATTTTCAGAATGTAAGGGTATATTATTCAAAGCAAAATGGCAGAAAAAGCAAGGTTTCAATAAACAATCCAATTCATTTTTTTACTTTTCTAAATGAATCAGTTACAACATGTTGACATGTTTGATTGCAAGCCAGTCTCTAGAGCAAAGCACAATCAATCCGAATAATTATTAAGTCAAAATAAGGGACATGAACCTCTGGTTTTAGATGATGAAGTTACATAAAAAAAAGGTGTTTTCAAAATTTGGCTTTTGCCAACTTTAACCTCCATCCTCATGTTTTGATGAACTAACCTAGTTTTTAGTGAGAGAAAGAAGAGGACTTTCGACTTAACAATAAGATCTAACATTGTTATAGTAGAAGGACAAATGCCGTAAGAAAGTATGGTAGAAGACTGAATTGAATAAAACAAGTATAGTACAAAATCAAAACAAGTAAAAGAATTGCTAATTTCCCCCCAAAAGGATACTAGTCTAAGCAGAGCATGCATATCATACTTATGCAAGCATATACCTTAAATCTGAGGAAACCAGTTCGTGAGTTACAACTTCGTACAGGTCATGTACAGCTTTTGCAGCACCTTTAGCAAGTTCAGGATCATTTCGAATCTGAAATAAATATACGAATTATGCATCATCATCAAATAAATATATATTAAGAATGCATCCATATCAAACACAGCTAAATGATAGGATAGTCTATATGGTTCTATGATTTCGTTGATAAAATATTTTACCATAATAAAAGCATACACAATAATCTATTAAAGAGCAAACAGACACCTTACATACCACTAAATTTGATTTTTTCAGACTTTTAGAGATTTTCTCTTTTGTTTTTTAATAACAGTTGTATAAGTTTCTGTAATAGAGAATTACAACTCTTTTTCTGTTGTAAACATTCTGTTCGCTATAAGTTTTTTCATTCAATACACACGTGAATGAGGTTGTTCAACTAGTAATCAAACTCACGGGTTACATTTCTTGGCCAAGAAACCAGTTAAAATCTTCACAACAAATAATGACAGATTTAGTCAAACTCTCACAAAAAAGCAACGAAAAAAATGGTTGACCAACTTAAATTCAGAGAAACATGAGTTAGAAATTTAATTCAATATATTCAGAGACAAAAATGTTCAAAATCAAAGTAATAAAAATAGTACTAAACAGGCAAATTACCAGGAGTCCAGACAATGCCGTAAGTCTTGATAAAACAACTGGAAGCTTCTTTAGAGACAAGGTTAAAACAAGTGAACCCTCTACAATACTGTTATTGATCTCACGAAAAATTCTTTCCACCCTGTCAAAATATTGGTAATCTTTCATGAAACATATAATGTAGGCAAAGCAGAAAGTAATGCACAGATAAAGAGAGAAGAAAATATGGAGGTTGACTTTCAGAAATATTACCGAAACAGAAAACCCTAATCATAAAATTTGATGCCTGAATCCCATCTTCTATTGCAAATTAAGGTAACCTAACATAGTGTTAGATCAGATAGATGAATTATATTACTAAGGTAATTAATTAATCCATAATGCCGTGGAATTTAAGTCTAAAAAGTTAACGTTTTTTGTCAGTATTGCAGACCACAAAATAAATAAAAAAAAAAAGTCTTTAAGTCTTAGTAGACTTCGTTACCAACTTCAATTTCAATCTTTTTATAGGTTTCTTTAGTTTTTGTTGATGCGTTTGTTTTTGGCCCTGCGTAATGTATATGTTTTACTTTCTCTTTTGATAAAATCTAAGTACGCTGCAGATAATTAATGCTATATCGATGTCAATTTAGTTGGGATTGCAGATAGCGTAGTGATGCTATTGCATAGTTGCTTTAAGAAAACAGAACATCCAATAAATTTTATTTTTGTTTGTTTATGGACAGAAAAGGAAAATTCATTAAGACAGAAGAAAAAATAACAATTTGGAGGATAAAAAATCCTCCTAATGTTTGCATGGACTGCATCTAAACCTCCTCTTTCACAACAGGACAAAGTTCATTAATGTTGTAAGAATAGTCCAAATGGAATAAGGTTCCCCATTTGATGATCAAAAGATTTAAATATTTCAAACAGAATAGTGAAAATTTCTGAGAATGAGTAATGAAATTCATACCAAAGTCTTCCTTCATTGTCGTTGCCAACTAATGAATATAATATTTTTTCAACACTGTAATAGCATTCCTTCACTGCATAGGCCATGTATTCATCCCTACTTATCCTGTTCCACAAATCTGCCTGAGTATCTTTGCAGTCTAAAGCCAAGTCAATCGCCAACAAGATCTGAAGATGAAGATATTAACTCAGATTAATACATGGAATCCTGGTAAACTATACAAGTTGTCATTATCCATTCCAAGTAATTCATATTCCATAAGAAGTTCTACCTTACTGCTAAGAAGAAACAGAGGCCATTGAACTAATCTCAGACTTCCTGCATTACTAGGTATAGAAAGCAGGTCCATTTCTCTGTAAAAGTAAAAAATAAACAAATAAGCCACCTATAACTGGCTAGACAAGATTTTGGAACCCAAAGAGACGGCAAGCCTGCTTATATCACAATTTTTAACAAACGAAAGGTATTTTATCAGAAATAAAAAAAAGAAACAATACGAGCCCATAAAGTCATTGAAAAAACAATGATCACTTGGACTCCATTGCATGTAATTGAACAGAAAAAAGAGCAAAGGATTTTAGTACAAGGGTGCACACTTCTACACATTTTCTAATTCTGAATTAAATCCTTCCACTATAATTCCCTGTTACTTATCTAACTAACTGATTCTATTAACTTCAGTATGCAGTTTATCTTCATAAAACTGTCAAGCATCAAGTTTCCTTTTCACCAACCTATTACTAATAAAATCTTCCTCACGCAGACTTTTTATTATCTCATTCCAAAATGGAGCAAACATGGCAGCATATGCTTTGTTCAAATCTTGAGAATCCTGCACCAAATCAACCACATTCATTAGCCATACTGAATGTCAAAAATTCCAAGAGATAGAAATACATAGAAAATAAAACAAAATTAAGTAAAATATTCAAACAATATTATTTAGATAGCTCAATATTCCTCTAAGTTCCCATATTTATATTATAGTAGTTGTTCTCAGATACAATGAGAAAGAACAGTAAAAACAAATAAAGTCGTACCTAGAGTCCTAGGTACACACAAAACAAAATTTTAATAAAGCTTATGTAAGGCTTATTCGAACACTCCCTCTCAAGTTAGAGCATACAAATTGTATGCACCTAACTTGAAAAAAATAAATTCAATCCAATGTCCTATCAATGAATTTGTTAACATATCTCCAAGTTCATCACTGAATCCAACAAAGTCAATATAAATTTCCTTGCTTTCTCGAATGAAATGACAACCGATAACTATATGTTTGGTCCTCTCATGGAACATGGGATTGGAAACAATGTAGAGAACAACTTGGTTATGACAATACATCTTCTTTGTTGAATCTCATACGGAATTGTACTACCCACACAGGTTCATAAGTGAGAGACACCCTTAACCTATAACAAGCTTCAATAGTTAATTGGGCAACTATAGTTTGTTCCTTACTTTCTCAAGAAAATTTTTTTTCACCAACAAAAATAGAATATCCTATAGTAGAGTGTCTCTCCATTGGAAAAACTACCCAATGAGCATCATAATACCAGAAGATTTGAGTATTTTCTTTCGCTTCATATAACAAACCTTTTCTTGGAGCCTTTTTGATTTATCTTAATATGGGGGTGATACCATTCCAATGATCAATCAAGAACTGAAGAACAAAACCAACTGCAAAATAAATTTTCCAACCAGTCTTGTGTATCTTTCCTTTTTCAACTATTAATTTCTTGTTTAGCTCAACAAGACTATCCACTACTCTAATCTGAATCATATCTATCTCTTTTAGGATACCTATTTGACCTTACTATTTTAATACTCAACAAATATTTGAGACTTCCAAATTCTTTGGTTTGAAAATGATAACACAAGTGCTCATTTGGTTGAGATATTATAGCAGTATCATTCTCTTTAATGACTATATCAACATACACAGCTAAGTAAACACATTTTCAAGGGGGAGATATGACAGTAAAAAAATCAAGATTTGCCACAAGGTTGTTAAATTCCACTAGGATGCAGATGATAAGTAGAATGAGTACCTTTTCTAAAGCCAATTGGTCAATTTGATGAAGCAAACCAAATGGAGAGGACTCACCTTGGAGGATGACCCAAGCCACACACCTCTTATATTTTAATCTTGAATGGAGTAAAGTTACTATACTAGTTTTGTGAGAGGAAGAGTTCTCTTCTTAATGGGTCATATCTTGAGTTGTGCATATTCTCCAAGTGGCTTCTTCTATTGCTTTCNTCTACAACCAGAAAAATTACTTTAATGTATTTAAATTTATAAAAAAAATGAATTGAATGCAAATTGAATGAACTTACAATTTCAGGATCATTAGGCCAAATTATCCTAGAAAAAAGTCGTCCCTCGTCCCTAGCTCTGGCTAAAAGGTTCCATGTATCAAGATTCTCCCTGGAAAATTAAGAAGTTCACAAGTTCAGAAATAAGGGACAGAATTAGTATTCTCATCATCTAAGTTAAAGGTTGGTTTCAATTTCATCAGCTAACTTTTTCATATCATTTCTGTCCCTCTATCGTTGTGTTTCACACATTAGTTTGCAAGAACCTCTTTGGAAATTGTGTTTTTGGTAACAGCAAACTGGGTCATATTCACACATCTGATACTCGAACAGTAAGCCATAACTTTAACGTAAAGGTTGTATACTAGACAAGAGGAAGCACCAGCTAATTCGATCAATTATTTTCAGAATGTAAGGGTATATTATTCAAAGCAAAATGGCAGAAAAAGCAAGGTTTCAATAAACAATCCAATTCATTTTTTTACTTTTCTAAATGAATCAGTTACAACATGTTGACATGTTTGATTGCAAGCCAGTCTCTAGAGCAAAGCACAATCAATCCGAATAATTATTAAGTCAAAATAAGGGACATGAACCTCTGGTTTTAGATGATGAAGTTACATAAAAAAAAGGTGTTTTCAAAATTTGGCTTTTGCCAACTTTAACCTCCATCCTCATGTTTTGATGAACTAACCTAGTTTTTAGTGAGAGAAAGAAGAGGACTTTCGACTTAACAATAAGATCTAACATTGTTATAGTAGAAGGACAAATGCCGTAAGAAAGTATGGTAGAAGACTGAATTGAATAAAACAAGTATAGTACAAAATCAAAACAAGTAAAAGAATTGCTAATTTCCCCCCAAAAGGATACTAGTCTAAGCAGAGCATGCATATCATACTTATGCAAGCATATACCTTAAATCTGAGGAAACCAGTTCGTGAGTTACAACTTCGTACAGGTCATGTACAGCTTTTGCAGCACCTTTAGCAAGTTCAGGATCATTTCGAATCTGAAATAAATATACGAATTATGCATCATCATCAAATAAATATATATTAAGAATGCATCCATATCAAACACAGCTAAATGATAGGATAGTCTATATGGTTCTATGATTTCGTTGATAAAATATTTTACCATAATAAAAGCATACACAATAATCTATTAAAGAGCAAACAGACACCTTACATACCACTAAATTTGATTTTTTCAGACTTTTAGAGATTTTCTCTTTTGTTTTTTAATAACAGTTGTATAAGTTTCTGTAATAGAGAATTACAACTCTTTTTCTGTTGTAAACATTCTGTTCGCTATAAGTTTTTTCATTCAATACACACGTGAATGAGGTTGTTCAACTAGTAATCAAACTCACGGGTTACATTTCTTGGCCAAGAAACCAGTTAAAATCTTCACAACAAATAATGACAGATTTAGTCAAACTCTCACAAAAAAGCAACGAAAAAAATGGTTGACCAACTTAAATTCAGAGAAACATGAGTTAGAAATTTAATTCAATATATTCAGAGACAAAAATGTTCAAAATCAAAGTAATAAAAATAGTACTAAACAGGCAAATTACCAGGAGTCCAGACAATGCCGTAAGTCTTGATAAAACAACTGGAAGCTTCTTTAGAGACAAGGTTAAAACAAGTGAACCCTCTACAATACTGTTATTGATCTCACGAAAAATTCTTTCCACCCTGTCAAAATATTGGTAATCTTTCATGAAACATATAATGTAGGCAAAGCAGAAAGTAATGCACAGATAAAGAGAGAAGAAAATATGGAGGTTGACTTTCAGAAATATTACCGAAACAGAAAACCCTAATCATAAAATTTGATGCCTGAATCCCATCTTCTATTGCAAATTAAGGTAACCTAACATAGTGTTAGATCAGATAGATGAATTATATTACTAAGGTAATTAATTAATCCATAATGCCGTGGAATTTAAGTCTAAAAAGTTAACGTTTTTTGTCAGTATTGCAGACCACAAAATAAATAAAAAAAAAAAGTCTTTAAGTCTTAGTAGACTTCGTTACCAACTTCAATTTCAATCTTTTTATAGGTTTCTTTAGTTTTTGTTGATGCGTTTGTTTTTGGCCCTGCGTAATGTATATGTTTTACTTTCTCTTTTGATAAAATCTAAGTACGCTGCAGATAATTAATGCTATATCGATGTCAATTTAGTTGGGATTGCAGATAGCGTAGTGATGCTATTGCATAGTTGCTTTAAGAAAACAGAACATCCAATAAATTTTATTTTTGTTTGTTTATGGACAGAAAAGGAAAATTCATTAAGACAGAAGAAAAAATAACAATTTGGAGGATAAAAAATCCTCCTAATGTTTGCATGGACTGCATCTAAACCTCCTCTTTCACAACAGGACAAAGTTCATTAATGTTGTAAGAATAGTCCAAATGGAATAAGGTTCCCCATTTGATGATCAAAAGATTTAAATATTTCAAACAGAATAGTGAAAATTTCTGAGAATGAGTAATGAAATTCATACCAAAGTCTTCCTTCATTGTCGTTGCCAACTAATGAATATAATATTTTTTCAACACTGTAATAGCATTCCTTCACTGCATAGGCCATGTATTCATCCCTACTTATCCTGTTCCACAAATCTGCCTGAGTATCTTTGCAGTCTAAAGCCAAGTCAATCGCCAACAAGATCTGAAGATGAAGATATTAACTCAGATTAATACATGGAATCCTGGTAAACTATACAAGTTGTCATTATCCATTCCAAGTAATTCATATTCCATAAGAAGTTCTACCTTACTGCTAAGAAGAAACAGAGGCCATTGAACTAATCTCAGACTTCCTGCATTACTAGGTATAGAAAGCAGGTCCATTTCTCTGTAAAAGTAAAAAATAAACAAATAAGCCACCTATAACTGGCTAGACAAGATTTTGGAACCCAAAGAGACGGCAAGCCTGCTTATATCACAATTTTTAACAAACGAAAGGTATTTTATCAGAAATAAAAAAAAGAAACAATACGAGCCCATAAAGTCATTGAAAAAACAATGATCACTTGGACTCCATTGCATGTAATTGAACAGAAAAAAGAGCAAAGGATTTTAGTACAAGGGTGCACACTTCTACACATTTTCTAATTCTGAATTAAATCCTTCCACTATAATTCCCTGTTACTTATCTAACTAACTGATTCTATTAACTTCAGTATGCAGTTTATCTTCATAAAACTGTCAAGCATCAAGTTTCCTTTTCACCAACCTATTACTAATAAAATCTTCCTCACGCAGACTTTTTATTATCTCATTCCAAAATGGAGCAAACATGGCAGCATATGCTTTGTTCAAATCTTGAGAATCCTGCACCAAATCAACCACATTCATTAGCCATACTGAATGTCAAAAATTCCAAGAGATAGAAATACATAGAAAATAAAACAAAATTAAGTAAAATATTCAAACAATATTATTTAGATAGCTCAATATTCCTCTAAGTTCCCATATTTATATTATAGTAGTTGTTCTCAGATACAATGAGAAAGAACAGTAAAAACAAATAAAGTCGTACCTAGAGTCCTAGGTACACACAAAACAAAATTTTAATAAAGCTTATGTAAGGCTTATTCGAACACTCCCTCTCAAGTTAGAGCATACAAATTGTATGCACCTAACTTGAAAAAAATAAATTCAATCCAATGTCCTATCAATGAATTTGTTAACATATCTCCAAGTTCATCACTGAATCCAACAAAGTCAATATAAATTTCCTTGCTTTCTCGAATGAAATGACAACCGATAACTATATGTTTGGTCCTCTCATGGAACATGGGATTGGAAACAATGTAGAGAACAACTTGGTTATGACAATACATCTTCTTTGTTGAATCTCATACGGAATTGTACTACCCACACAGGTTCATAAGTGAGAGACACCCTTAACCTATAACAAGCTTCAATAGTTAATTGGGCAACTATAGTTTGTTCCTTACTTTCTCAAGAAAATTTTTTTTCACCAACAAAAATAGAATATCCTATAGTAGAGTGTCTCTCCATTGGAAAAACTACCCAATGAGCATCATAATACCAGAAGATTTGAGTATTTTCTTTCGCTTCATATAACAAACCTTTTCTTGGAGCCTTTTTGATTTATCTTAATATGGGGGTGATACCATTCCAATGATCAATCAAGAACTGAAGAACAAAACCAACTGCAAAATAAATTTTCCAACCAGTCTTGTGTATCTTTCCTTTTTCAACTATTAATTTCTTGTTTAGCTCAACAAGACTATCCACTACTCTAATCTGAATCATATCTATCTCTTTTAGGATACCTATTTGACCTTACTATTTTAATACTCAACAAATATTTGAGACTTCCAAATTCTTTGGTTTGAAAATGATAACACAAGTGCTCATTTGGTTGAGATATTATAGCAGTATCATTCTCTTTAATGACTATATCAACATACACAGCTAAGTAAACACATTTTCAAGGGGGAGATATGACAGTAAAAAAATCAAGATTTGCCACAAGGTTGTTAAATTCCACTAGGATGCAGATGATAAGTAGAATGAGTACCTTTTCTAAAGCCAATTGGTCAATTTGATGAAGCAAACCAAATGGAGAGGACTCACCTTGGAGGATGACCCAAGCCACACACCTCTTATATTTTAATCTTGAATGGAGTAAAGTTACTATACTAGTTTTGTGAGAGGAAGAGTTCTCTTCTTAATGGGTCATATCTTGAGTTGTGCATATTCTCCAAGTGGCTTCTTCTATTGCTTTCCACTCAATCTTTTTTCTCTAACTCATTCCATCTCTTTGTTAGATATATTATATCTTTTATCTTTTAGTTAGTTTGTTATTATTTCTCATTTGTATTTTGGGCTTAGCCCATATTTCTTCTATTATAAATAGAGAACCCCATGTGTGTATTTTACACAAGGGAGATTAATTCAAATATAGTTTTTCACTATATTCAACATGGTATCAGAGCAGGTTCTCTGATCTTCTTCCGGGGTCTCCGCTGTCTCCCGGCAGCCCCTAAAATTTCAGCCGGCAGCCTTTAAAATTTCAGTGGGCAGTCCATTCTCTTCTTAAATCTGTGCCACAGTCAGCACCAGTGCAGCCAGTCGCCTCTGCCGTCAACCATCGCCAGCCACTGTCCGCCGCCAACCTCTGTCCGCGGCCGGCCACCGTCGTTGCCGCTGTCGTCGCCGTTGCCACCGCCGGCCACCGTCACAGTTTCGACGGGTGACCTGCGGATCTGGACCGTCTCTTCGAGCGACGGCCAACCACGCCGGTTTCGAGAGCCACTTCTCAGTCACGCGCCTCCACGCAGCGCTTCTTTCTGGCCAGTCCGCCATCGCCGCCGCCGCCGAACGTCGCTTGCTCCGGCGAAGTCAAGGGTTAGGTGCGCCTTGAGATCCGCAACCCAACACTAGTGGTCCCGTCCTCCGACGCCTCCACACCAGCTGTCACGCGCCGCTTCTTCTCGGCCACTCTCGGCAAGTCTCGGTCGCGTGTTCTGCACGCGCCACCTTCCATGTGTCGTAGTTCACCGCGTCCCTGCAGATCGTCTCGCCGGAGCTTCTTGAGTGTGTTTTGGTTGTTGTTTCTCCGTTTTGTTGGCTTGGGCTCATACCTAGGGTTTTTTCCCTCACGTTTTCGGAACCCTAAGTCCCTTTTCTTCTCTAAGTTTAAAATGGCTTCTTCTACTGGAAATTTGTTTCACGGCTAAGGATGTTGATTCTAGCAGTAAGTGCTACAGAGAAAGATTTGGCTAGAGATGAAAAGTCTAGGTTTGAGAATGGGATCTTGAGCAAGATCGACTCAAAATTTGTTGTTCAGGCGCCGTTTGCCGCTGTTCAGGCGCCGTTTGCCGTTGTTCAAGCGCCATTTGCCGTTGTTCAGGCACCGTATGCTTCCAACCACTGTAGGCCCCATCACCTCGTCAGTTAGTGATGGCAGTCCCTGTAGTTTTGTCTCTTTTTGCCACTATAGGCCCCATCAGTCAGTGATGGCAATTTAGTCCCTACAGTTTTATAGCAGTCAACAGCCGCTGCAATCACTACCGCCTCAGACAGACGCAACTGCGTCAGTTCTTCTTGGGCTAGAGTTTAGCCCGATCTTCTTGTGATACACTGCTAAGTATCACCACTTGGGAGTTGTCCAGCAAAGAATTTTGGACCTCCAGCATGTCTTTGGATCTTTGATGCCTTTTTTTCAGCATTGTAGCTTAATATTTTGTTTTGTTTTAGTGGTCCAGCAACTGTGATATTCCACATTTCCGCCGTTCACACTAAGGGGGAGTACGTTTCCAAGACACTGCAAGTCACATGTATATGGGTGTAGTCCCTGCAGTTTTGTAGATTTCAGCTACTACTGTTGATCCCGTCACCCAGCCATCATTGATGAGGATTTAGTGTAGTCCCTGTAGTTTTGTAGCTCTTAGCTTTCAGCTACCACTGTTGATCCCGTCACTCATCCATCATTGATTGGGAATCAGTCCTTGCAGTTTGTCATTGTCCACCACTGCTTTCTTTCATTCACTTTCGAAGTTGAAGTTTCACAAGCTGTTGTTAGTCCATCTATGTTTGCCTCACACTCTTGAAGACAAATCATCTAGTTCAACACTGAGTTCATCTATTCCAAGCTTAGTTCATACAATTTGTATGCTCCAGCTTGAGGGGGAGTGTTAGATACATTATATCTTTTATCTTTTAGTTAGTTTGTTATTATTTCTCATTTGTATTTTGGGCTTAGCCCATATTTCTTCTATTATAAATAGAGAACCCTATGTGTGTGTATTTTACACAAGGGAGATTAATTCAAATACAGTTTTTCACTATATTCAACACTCTTCATTGTTAAGTTCTTCACTATCTACTTTCAATTCCACCACTAATTCCATTCCTCTTTATGTGTTAATTTTCTTCTACATTCCTTTCTCTCTCATGTTCATCTATGGCTTCTTCCGCTGTTGTGTCTTCTAATCTATCTTCTGCCATCAGTGCGTGTGACTCATCCATATATACTATGTCAATGTGCACATGTCTATTCATAAGTTAGACGACACTAATTATGCAAGTTGGGCATCAAACATTAAACTTTGGTTTAAGAGTCAAGAGTATGTTGATCATATTACTCAAAAAGTGATTGATATTGCTTTTGCTCAAGTTCCTTGTTTGAAGCAAATTGATACTCAATTATGCATCATTCTATTTAAAACTCAAATTAGAGAAGATTTATTTGAGTGCTTGATGCACCTCCAAATTTCATCTTACATTTATAGGAAGTTGAAAGCAACCAACCACACTTTAGACAGCTAAACTTGGTTGGAACACACTCACCGAGAATTAATTATATTTGTAAGAAGCTTCATATGTACGATTTGTATGCACCAGCTTGAGAGGAATTGTTAGATATATTAGATATTTTAGATAGATATCTTATTTTTATCTTTTATCTTCAATTACTTTGTTATGATTCTTCATTTGTATTTTGTTCTTAACCCATATTCCCTTTATTATAAATACAGTCCCTTATGTCAATTTCTACATAAGGGAGATTAACCCCATACAGTTTTTACTATATTCAATACACCTTATCTTGAATTCCAACTAATCTCATAAAGTGAGACTATAAAGAAATTGTATGTTTCATTTGTATTTGCATTTGAACCTGTATCACAAGTGGTTAGATTTCAATCAACTATTCTTGATATTCTTCATTATAGAATTTGGGTTAAGAAAGACATTGGTTCTAGTGTCTAGAAAACCAAGCAAAGAGAAGCAGTTTTCTTAGGTATGAATCATTATCTTACAATCGTGCATTGAGGATGTCCCTTACCATCAAGTTCTCCTTTAGTATTACATCCTACTCTTCAACACAAAGATACAGTTACAGAAGATTCAACATGCTCTTAAACATTCTAGCTTTGAAAAGTTGCAACTCGAAGGAGTCTTGTTGTCAACCTTTTGCATGGAAAAAACTTGGTGACCTATTAAAGGATGATCTCTAACATGATCAAACTTTGGATTCATGGGACAAAGGATCATAACAATGTAAAATATGTCAAGCTTCTTCTTAATCTCATCTAATCATAATGGAGAATCACATATTTTCCCTTCAACCAAGCTGGAAAAGTAGAATCTTAGGACTAAACAAGGACTAGGAAGTTCAACAATTCCAATGGAGAAGGCACAATGCCACTCTAGTCCTCTCTTTAGAGGAGGCATAACATCGCTCCCATGAGAAGGCAACACATGGATGTCAAGCGTCTAGCAACTTAGACGGCAATTATGTGTGACTGCATGCGACACAGATTTAACCTTCAGGACCACTAGGGTTGGTAGTTGCTCAAAGAAGCACCCTAGATCTACAGGTTGTCAGATAAATTATGAAATGGCCAACCCAAATAGCACCAAACAAAGGTTAGATGATGCATACAAACTTCAGATTAATTAAAAATAGACAACGTTATTTAATAAAACCATAATACCTGGGTTGATTGTCCGCTCAAGGGAATCCTGAAAAAATAACATACACAAGCAAGGAATAAGACATCCTATGTCAGAAATAGTTGTAATAATTAATGTCAGAAATAGTTGTATCATCCAAAAGAATAGAAAGAAAACAGTTTAGTTTTGCGTTTTACTCTTGTACAACTAAAACATATTTATTATTTTATTTATATAATTTTCAGGTGTGCTAAGTGCTCTCCCTCAAACAATTTAAAGTAATGCCACTTTCTAGTTTGTACGCTTTCAAATCTCCCCTTGCAGAGACCAACAAAAGGAGGTGGCATTGTCCTTGAATAAAAAATATATAGCCCCAAACAATAGTAAAATACCAAAGAAGCTCTTACTAGAAATACCTAGCACCTGAACAGTGTTCAAATAAGAAAGACAAATCAGATTCCCTAACAACTAAATTATACAACCCACGAGATCCATATCACCAAGCCAACAAGTAGATTAAGAATAGATACAGAACTAAGATAATCGTAACTACTAGCTTACATAGAAAACCCACCTTTTTATTTGTGGTGACACCAAATTTTTTACAAAGGCCCCAGGGAAACTTTCAAAACGCTTATGCACCATTTCAATTGAACGAATCTGCAATAAGTCATTAATAATAAATGTTTTTAGTAAGAACAGAAAATCCATGAATAAAACAATAAATATGTAGACTTCAATATTCATACGAAATTTAATTTCCTAAAAGAATAAAAATAAAGAAGAAAATAGCTCCTTACAAAAGATGTAGACTATAACATATCCTTAAAGGAAAAGCAAAAGATAACACAGGTCATCCAAAATTTTCATCTAGTCAAAGTTTCACCTATTAACTGAGTACACATGTTGTTATCGAAAGGAACACGTGTATAATATGGACCAAACAAAAAAATGGATACACAAACAGACACAAAGTAATGATTAAGATCAAGATAGAAAAACCAATAACCTTTTTAAGGATGATGATATCCCATGAAGACACATTTAAACAATCGAGGAGAAAGTATATCTGAACCATGTGTGAGGTTATGCACAAACAAGTTGTACCAAACTGCATAGAGGGGAATCAGGAAAAAGACCAAAGTAGGGTACTAGTCATGAAACATGGCAACTAATTAATGAGATAACATGTCGAAAGGATAGCATCCCCAAAAAGTGGTGAGGAAGATGATTTATGAAGAAGTGTCTGAGAAGTTTCAAGAGACTTGTTCAACTACATTTTGTTGAGAATTATGAAGACGTGATGTTTGATGAAGACTAACATTGGATGTCATAAATTGTTGGTATTGTTTAGATATCAAAGGATATCGTCACTACAAAAAGTGCATAAAGATATACCAAGTACATGTAGAATAATCATCATTAAAAGTAATATATTACTAAAACCAGAAAGAGAGAGTATGAGCAGCACCCCAGAAAGAGTGAACTACAGAAAAATTGAGACAAAACTTGTTTGTTAAGACTATCAATCCTTTCTGACTAACATGACTTTAATTCAAACAACATACATGTTTCAAACTTAGCCCCATCTTTTGCAATTTTGTCAACCTTAAATGTTGTAATTGTTCATGAATCATCATTAGATAGACTATTGAGTGCAACATAGATGGCGATGGAGAGAGATTAGGCAAATTGGGACAAAAGAATTAGGGACAGATATTTGGCAAATAGACAGCAAATTGAACCAGATATTAGGCAATTAGGGACAAAAGAAAAAAGCCAGCCGTCAGAGACAAGAGGGGTTTGACAGTTCTACAGGCACAAATTTGTATTTGTGAACCATTAGCAACATTGACCAAGGGGAAATTGGTAGTGGTAGTATGGAGCGGGTAAGAGAAATATTATCAGTTGCACCAAAGTCAATGACCCAAGGACAAAGGAGATTGAGATACACAAGCCAAAAGATGGCTAAATAATAGATGTCTACGAAATAATGGGTGATCAAAGGAGGTTTTCCATGCAGCTTCAAATACCTATTAATGATGTGTCCAATGTGTTGAGAATGCTTGCATTCTGAAGGGATTGTAAAATTACATGTGTGAAAGAATCCAAAGTTACTACTTTGTGATAGAAAGGCAAACTTAATGTCACAATGTAGTTGCAAGGGGTTATCCACCTTAACTTTAAGGTCATCCAAAACTATTTTCATCCAGAATTTGACAGGACTCTTAATAAGGATCATGGGAAGTGCACATGGGCTTGTTACTCAGCAAGGAAAAATTATAGAAGGAATAGATAGGCCCAAAATATGGAATGTGTATGTAAGAAGAAAGAAAGTGGGGTTAGGAAAAGAAATAGGGAGAAGTTAGTTAGGATGGGGAATGACGTGTCAAGAACCCAAGGATGGGGGAATTCTATTATAAGAGAGAGTAGGGAGAGTGTGGGGGTACTGGAGTAGGAGGTGGTGAGTTGGTTAGAAGGAGAATAATCCTCTGGAGGAGTCTACGACTATGGGGTTTTCCTTGTGGCTATAGAGCTTTCAGCTCAATCATCTTTTTACTGCATAATACTCTAAATAATACAACTTTGATATTCAGTAATTGTTTGGTTTCTATCATTGGTCCGACGTGTCGGATACCGAGAAGAGCTAGCATTACTGTCCATGCCACCCAAAATGTCCGACCGAGTTGAAGCATTGGAGGAAAGATTGTTAGCAATGGAAGTGTCAGTACATGAGACGTTGGGGGAATTTCACCAATTAATGTTGGAAGAGTTTACTAAGTTGCGTAACGAGCAAGTAGGAGATCGTCGAGAATCTCCATTTTCAGATATGGATTCAGGTGCAGAGTATAGGATGGCAGCTAAGAAGGTGGAATTGCCATCATTTGATGGTATTGACCCTGTAGGATGGATTACGAGGGCAGAGACATTTTGAAGTGCAAGGCTATACAGAAGAGGTGAAGGTCAGATTGGCCAAGTTGAGTGTGGAAGGTGCAACTATTCATTGGTTCAATCTTCTACAAGAAGCAGAGTGGGGTTGTCGTGGACCAAGTTAAAAAGGGAGTTGATCGGTCATTATGGTGGTCGTACTAGCGATAATCCTTTTGAGGAGTTGAAAGACTTGTCGCAGACGGGTAGCGTAGATGAGTACCTGGCGGAGTTTGAGTATATATCGTCTCAAGTATCTCGTTTACCAGAGGAGCAATATCTGGGCTATTTTATTGGAGGATTGCGATCGGAGATTCGGTGAAGGGTTCGCACCTTCAACCCTGTGAATCGTCTCCAAGCCATGCGCCTAGCTCGAGATGTGGAAGCAAAATTGCTAGGACAGGAATTTCAGCGTGGAGGAGGAGTACGGGGTTGGAAAAGCAATCGAGATTGGGGTACGGGTCTAGGAGAGATGTTTGGATTCGGGTCGGGTCAAGGCCCAAATTTAGGGAGATTAGGAGTGGGTTTAGGCCCAACCCAGGGCACACAAACTAAACCCTTATCGGTAGGGAGTTCAAGCCCTCACGAGTCACGTTCGGTGACACAAGAAAGCAGTCGCGTTTCCGGTGATAGTTCTCCGACTGCCGATCGGAATCGCAGCATGAAGCATTTGCCTTATTCTGTATTGATGAACAGGAAAGCTCAGGGGCTTTGTTTTAGATGCGGTCAAAAATACCACCCCTTGCATCGATGTACGGAGCGACAACTGAGAATGGTGGTGTTAGCTGACGACGAAACAGTAAACGAAGCGGGGGAGGTGATCGAGAGGGTGATGCGAGAAGAGGAAGATGACCGTACCTTGGAGTGTGGTTCTATGGAGCTGTTTGCAGAGGTTGAAGTGTCGTGGGATGGTCGGAATCGCCCTTCAACTCTGCTCATAAAAGGTCGTCTCAATGGAGTAACCTTGGGAGTGCTGATTGATAGTGGGGCTAGTCACAATTTCATCTTTCCTCATGTAGTGGCTGCTCTGGAGTTGAAAGTGGACAAAAGAAAAATGATTGGGGTGCTTCTATGATATCTGCACAGGGTCTCTACTACTGGAAAATGTGAGAAGTTGGACGTTCAACTAGGAGAATTCTCTACTACGGTGGAGCCATATGTGTTGGAGTTGGAAGACATAGACATGATTTTGGGAGTTTTTTTGTTGCGTAGATTTGGGAAGGTTACTTTTGATTGGGAAGAGATGACTCTAAGTTTCCTTTGGCAAGACAAATATCTAGAACTACGAGGTCAGAAACTAAAAAAATATGAAGCAATGTCTCCAACAAGATTACTTCAGCCCTTGCCTATTCCGGATAGAATTTGGGAAGATATTTCTTTAGACTTCATTACAGGTTTACCAAAATCGAAAGGGTTTCAAGCTATACTTGTAGTGGTGGTGGTGGATCGGTTGTCTAAATATGGCCACTTTATTTTGCTGAAACATCCTTACACTACAAGGAAAATTGCTTAATTGCTTGCTAAGGAAATTGAATTATTTCGATTACAGGGAACAACTCTGAAAATGAGTTCTTGTTATCATCCTGAGACCGATGGTCAAACAGAAGTGGTAAGCCAATGTTTAGAAGCTTATTTACAATGTTTTGTGTCGAAACAACCCAAGAATTGGTCATATTGGGTACCTTGGGCAGAAATTGGAGAAATGTTTTATAAGGTGCAGTTGCCAGAATCAGCCAAAGTACATCCAGAGTTGACTCTTGAGGATGAAGATAAAGAAGAGCCGGAGGCAGCGCTAGCAACCAAGGAGATTTCGAAGGGCGGTAACATCATCAAACAATGGTTGGGGGAATGGAAGGGAAGAACAGAGAAGGAGACAACTTGGGAAGGTGCGGTGCTACTGCAGAGTCAATTTCCTTCTTTCAGCCTTACGGACAAGGCTGTTGTTGAAGAAGGGAGTAATGATAGGACTCCTAATAAGGATCGTGGGAAGTGCACATAGGCTTGTTACTCAGCAAGGAAAAATTATAGAAGGAATAGATAGGCCCAAAATATGGAATGTGTATGTAAGAAGAAAGAAAGTGGGGTTAGGAAAAGAAATAGGGAGAAGTTAGTTAGGATGGGGAATGACGTGTCAAGAATCCAAGGGAATGGGGAATGACGTGTCAAGAATCCAAGGATGGGGGAATTCTATTATAAGAGAGAGTAGGGAGAGTGTGGGGGTACTGGAGTAGGAGGTGGTGAGTTGGTTAGGAGGAGAATAATCCTCTGGAGGAGTCTAGGACTTTGGGTTTGGGGTTTTCCTTGTGGCTGTAGACCTTTGAGCTCAATCATCTTTTTACTGCATAATACTCTAAATAATACAACTTTGATATTCAGTAATTGTTTGGTTTCTATCAGAATCCTTCACACATTGGAGAACTTTATCAACTGCTTGCATACATTGGCTCACTATAATAACTACATAAGCAATGCTTGGTCTTATGTGTGATAGATAAATCAATTTTCCTACCAATCTCTGATATTGGGCCTTCTCTACAAGAGCACTTTCCTCACTTCCAATTCTATGATTATGTTCTATAGGAACTGTTGAGGTTCTACATCCCAGCTTTCCTGTTTATTTGAGGAGATCAAGTACATATTTATTTTGGGACATGAAAAATTCCGTTCTTGGAGTAAGCAACCTCTACTCAAAGAAAATATTTGAGTTTTCCCAGGTTTTCCATTTCAAATTGGGCTACCAATTTTTCTTTTAATACCAATTTTTCTATTTCATCATCTCCTGCAATAATCATATCATCCACATAGACAAGCAATAGAGTGAGTTTACTGGCAAAAGAGTGTTTTATGAATAGAGTATGATCTCCTTGCCTTTGTGTATATCCCAAGGAAACCATTGCTTTTGTAAATCTTCCAAACCATGCTATAGGGGATTGTTTAAGACCATACAATGCTTTCTTCAGGAGGCATACCTTGTTTCTTTCATTTTTCACTTCAGAACCTAGGGCAATCCCAAGTACACTTCCTCTTCTAGATTTCCATTAGGAAAGACATTCTTCCATCCAAAATGAGCAGCCAAAGCGAGAACAACTCGAACTGTATTCATCTTTGTCACTAGGGCAAACATCTCCTCATAGTCAATCCCATAGGTTTAGTTATATCCTTTTGCCACCAATCTAGCTTTATATCTTTCTATTGTCCCATTTGCCTTATCTTTCACTGTGAATATCCATCTACACCCTACTACCTTCTAGTCTCTTGACTTATCAACAATTTCCCAAGTTGAATTTCTTTCTAATGCATTCATCTGTTCTTTCATGGCTTGATTCCAATGTTCAAGTTTCATGGCCTCCTGGATTGAGGTAGGAATTTATGTGGCGTCAATGGCAGCAATAAAGCTTTTGTGCTTATAAGAGAGATTACTAGTGCAAACAAACTGAGAAATAGGATATTTGGTACATGATTTTCTTTCCTCAGTAATACTTACCTCCTCACTGATATCTTTAGGGATCACCTCCGGATTAGACAATTTTTCTTGCTCTAGAGTCGAATTGGGTTGTTTTCTTCTTTTATACTTTTTGCCAAAAGATTTGTCTTCTTCCTCACTGTGGACTATGGTGGCTTTATTGCTTAGATCTTGGGCATCTTGCAAGGACAAACATGATAATTTATCTCTTCCTAAGATTTGTACTCAGATTGGGTTATACTCATGATTCAAGCCATGGAGAAATTTAAAAATTCTTCCTCTTTCCACGACTTCAGCAAGTGTGGAAGCATCTATTTTACATAATTTTCAATCCAAATTCCCTTCAGGATTCCGTGATATTCTGATACAAAAAAGAAGTCTTGTTTTGTATTAAATATCCTCCTTTCAAGGTCATAGCATGCAGCAAAATACTTTTTTAATGAAAAAGTACTCTATATTGGAAAATGAGTATCGTCTGGCCCTACCCCTCCTCCATCTGTGATCCAATCTTGAACGTCCCTTGAGAATCCTTCGAATGTACTCATCAAAACGATAGGCACCCACCATATTTGGAAGATCATTAGGACCCAAAGAATTAATTTTTACTTCAGACATCACGTAAAACGCAATCAGGTGTCTCCAGTGACCTTATCCGAGACAACGACAATGTGTGGTTACACCGAGAAAAGTTGTAGAATTTAAAACCTAGATCTATACAAATCTAGGCCAAATGAGATGTCACCGACCCGTGGCTCTTGCCTGAACTAAGCGCATGGCCTACACAAGTTGGCGACGATGGCAACATCTTTCCCATAGCGATTTCCAGTGTTGTGTTCGCCGGAGTTGGGCACACCTTTCTGCCCCATCAACGAACCCAATCGGCTACAGTGACAGTCACGGTGGTCGGACAGTGGCGTCGGTGGCTACTCTTCAAGCGAAAACAGAGCTTCCAACTTAACCCCACAAAAATCAATTTCTAATGTAAGGTTTTCACCCACTTATATACTATAGTTTTGCTTTATCTCTAGTCGATGTGTGACTTCCAACCCCATAATCAATGGAGCAAACTTCAGTTGACAGGATGATCCGAACCCTGTGTGTTGGAGCAAACTTCAGTTGACAGGATGATCCCAACCTTAAGCAAACCTGACATAATTAGGCCTAAACCAACTTTCTAAGAATATGGCTTGAGTGCATAGTATACAAAAAATATAGTTAAAGATCCAAAGCTACATGTTTCAAATTGTTAATCAATAAGTTTGTTGGAAGTCCCATATCGACTAGAGATAAGGTCAATTTATAATATATAAGTGGATGCAAACCTCATCCTATAAACCGATTTTGTGAGGTTGAGTTAGGATTGAAGTCCACTTCTTAACATCGTATCAGAGTCATGTTAGAGTCTATCCTAGCGATATTTGTTGTTTGTTGGGCATATTGTTCCACAACTTAATGTCTAATCTCACACTCGATATGTCTATACCTTAGCGTGAGGAGGATGTGTTGGAAGTCTCACATCTACTGGTCCATTTATAATATATAACCGGTTTTGTGAAGTTGAATTAGGCTTAAAGTCTACTTCTTAACAAATTTCTAAGAAAATTTCACAAACCAAAATCTTATTTTAAGCTTAACCAATTCAACCCCTTTCTTGGTAAGCAACTTTTGTAGCACTCTTCCCTTACATCCCACACTTTTTACCATGTACCCGAGTTAGATATAAAGCCCAAACACCTCTTCTACCTTTACTTATATTTCCCACAAGGCATAGAACTGCACCTAAGTAAAACATAAAAATGAAATGATCCAAAAGTAAATATTTCTTTTCACAAGAAATTGGATACCTCTTGTAAAAGTTTTCAAGCAAAGGAGCATACCAGGATCATTAGAGTCCATTAAGATCAATGTAATTGAAGATTATGAAAGAAAATGTAAGAAAATATGAAAAATTAAAGGAGGGAGATTTTAAGAGACTTTCAACGGAGAATTTACATTTCAATACATCAAATGAGTTAAGTGACCTTTTTCAGGCTTGTTCGAAACACATTGAAAGAATGAAATTAAACAAGCTAAATCCAGAAAATGATGTCAATTTGGAACTCAAATACCTCGCCTAGCCGAGCCCGTGCACCAATCACACCACCAACAATTGCAGACATTACAGTGTAAAAAATCAGAATATCCATGAGATAAATCTGTAGAATGAGAGTGCATTAGCAAGGTCGTAGACATATATGCATGAAAACAGAAAATAAACAATTATATGAAAATCATAGCTATTAGCTCTTAAGATCACGATCGTCAGAGGAAATAATTTAGAAAACATAGCATCAAGTATTAAGGCTACTTGGAAAAATAAACACTAGAGAAACTTTTATCTCCTAAGAAATTCCAATTTCCAACATGTTATTATAAGATATGTTGAATATAGAGAAAAACTATGTGGCAACCAAACATAAATATGGTTAAATAGAAGATATTGTTACAAAAAATATCAACAATATCAAATGTCTATGTTTCCCTAGATAACAATAGAAGCTATGTTTCCCTAATTAACATAAAATGCAATATATTTAACACTCCTTCTCAAGTTGGTGCATATAAATCATATGTATCAAACTTCATACAAATAAAATCAATTTTTGGTCCTCTTAACGGCTTAGTGAAAATATCTTCTAACTGATCATTTAAGTTAACGAACTCAGTTTTAAAGTCTCAAGATACAATCTTCTCTCGAATGAAATGATAGTCAATTTCAATGTATTTGGACCTCTCATCAAACACAAGATTAAAATTAACATGAAGAGCTGCCTAATTGTCACATATAAGTATCATTAAAGAAACATCTCCAAATTGTACTCTCTAAGCAATTGCTTAAGCCAAACAAGTTCATAAGTGGTTGAGGCCATAGCTCTATATTTTGTTTTTGCACTTTGATCTTGCCACAAAACATTGTTTCTTACTCTTCCAAGAAATCAAGTTACACAATACCCAAAGGTAGATCTTCTTTAAAAATGACATCTTTCCCAATCCGCATCGAAATAAAAACAACTTTTGTATGGTTATTGGAACCATATAAAAAAAAATTTCCAAGAGATCTTTTAATGTACTTCAATATATAGATGACTACATTCCAATGATCTTCACATGGGGAATTGAGAAATTGACTCACCACACTGACTACAAAGAATATGTCAGGACGAGTAATTGTAAGTTAATTTATTTCCCAGCCACATTCTATATTTCTCAAGATCTAAAATAGGCTCCCCCTGATTTGGTAGAAGTTTGGTATTAGGATCCATGGGTGTGTAAACAGATTTTGAATTCATCAACCCAGTTTCCTCTAAAATATCTAATGTATACTTCCTTTGAGATATAAGAATATCATCCTTAGATTGTGCTACCACGATACCCAAGAAATATATAAGTTTGCCAAGATCTTTGGTCTGAAATGATGGAAAAGGTGTTGTTTCATGTGGGAGATGTCACGGTGGTCACTACATGTAAGAACAATGTAATCAACCTATAATATCAAATAGACACATCCAACATTTGAGTGATTGTAAAAGAGTTGATCTGGCTTACCTTGAGTCATGCCAAATTATTGAACAACGCTGTTAAAAATTCTAAACCTAGCCCTAAGAGATTGTTTTAGGCCATATAAAGATTATCGAACTTCAAAAGGCTGCTCGATACAAATTTCTTCTTGCAAATATGCATTGAAGAAATCATTTTCGACATCCAATTGACAAAGAGGTTATTGTTGAAGAACAGTCATGGCTAGAAATAAACGAACAAAAATCATCTTTGTAACTAGAGAAAAAGTATCACTATAATCCAATCCATAAATTTGTTTAAAAGAATTTGAAAGATATTCATGGTCATTATCACTTTGCAAAGTTTGAATAAATACATCAAACTGAGTTTTAATTTAATTATAAGAAGTTTTAAAGATATAATATAAACCAAAACGATTTTTCATTAAAAATATAATCAAGAATGATTGGAATAATCATCAATAAAAGTAACATAATATTGAAAACCTAAATTAGACTTAACACAATTAGGACTCCAAATGTCTGACAGAACTAAAGCAAAAGGAGATGAAACATGTTGGGAGACACTACTAGGAAAGGTACTATGACTATGTTTCTCAAATTGAAATGACTTACACACCAAACTAGACAACTTGGACAAGCTGGGAACAAGTTGTTGCAATTTGGCTAGACAAGGATGACCTAGTTCAGCATGAAGGAGAGACGGAGACTCCATAATTGTGCCAATATGTGTAGAAGAGTGGAGATGATATCGACCATGAGACTCACATTCAGAAGTTTTGATAAAAGAAATAACACAATCTAAGAGAACGAGTTAGACGACTAATGGATAATACGTTAAAAGGAGATCAGGGACATAAAAAACATTATAATCGGATAAAAGAGGAAAAAGGATAACAGTTCCAACAAAGATTCGTTACGAGTAATGTAATTTGTGGCTCCTATGTCAAGAACCTAAGGACCAATAAACGAAGACTGAGTACTAACAAACAATGTACCTAAGCGTGCAACAGATTCAGTGGAACTAGAGGGCTTACGATCCTCACACCATTTAAGAAATTCATTGAAGAGCGGAGATTTATCAATGGTATCAAATGGAGGAGGATTCGTAGTAGATGATTTTGAAGGGGAATCAGTCTGAGCATCAACAACAAAGCGAGGAGGACAAATATGTAATGCATAACACCTGTCAATCTTGTCACCTAGTTTGTCACAATGGTCACATTTGTGATGACATTTTCCTGGCTTGCGAGAGCAAATGCAATCACCATGTTGAAGTGCATACTCGGCAAAAACAGGTATATCATTGATAGGTTTACTTGGCACATGGAAAAGGGTGGAACAAGTAAAAGTAAAATTGGGTATAACAAGGGAACCCAAAATTTGATCACGGACATGGAAATATTTATCAGTTAGTCTGTGTAAAGCTAATACCATGAACAACATTTCTAAGGGAGTAGAGGTATCAGGTAATAACTTGCTAAATTCATGAAAAAGAGCATGAATCTTACCCAAATAATTAGCTAGAGTCCTAATTTCGAGGAGCAACAACATTGAAAAGATCGTAACAAACACGATAAAGACGTTGAGTATTGTTAGTGTATAATAATTTGGCTTGTTTCCAAACTTCTGAACAGGTACCGTAGGCACAAAACACTTGTTTTCAAGAAGATTGAATGGTATTCTTGAGAACCATACCTAGCTGAGCAATATCAATCACTTTTTGAGTAAGATGATCAAGATACCTAACTCTCAAGCCAGAGTTTATTGTCTGACACCCAAGTCGCATAATTAGTGTCATCCAACTTATCAATGGGCAAGGGCACATTGAAAAAGTTAGTAAAGACTGGCGGGTCAGACATACTGGTGGCAGAAGAGATATCGGAAGTGGAATGGGCAGCAAAAGACGCCATGGATGAAGAGAGAGAAAAACCCTAAAACACCAAAGGGGTCCGATCGAATCAACGAGGAGAGATCCAGAAAGAGGATGAAGAGGCAATCTCAATAGGTGATCACTGCCAAAGCGGGGTTGTGATGCATTGCCACGCTCGACAGCGAAGGGTTGGTGTATTAGTGTTATATATTACATAGATTTTGCTTTTAATAAATCTTTTACTGGTTGTGCCACTTTATTACTGTTTCATACCTTTTATTTTAAATTAATTGGTTATGCAAGTTTGTAACTGTAGGTAACTATTTTGTAACTGATGGTAATTGCTCTCAACAGTCTTTTCTTCTATATATTTGTTCTGGTATAGAAAGAACATAAAAGTGTGTAATTATTCAAGTGCCAATATACTGGACTTATTTTCGGTACATTACAACTCTCAAAAGATTAAACATTCTTGTATTCAAATTCATGTCTTTCTTGCAATTCTAACACCCTTATATTAGCTATGATGTAAATAAGATTTGTCAGCTTATGGCTAATCCGTTGGATGCACACTGCACTCTTAAAAGGATTTTACGATATCTTAATGCTACTTCCTATGTGTAATATGGATCGGGTTTTTGATATTGATGATCGGTAATCCACCTCAGACTAGGCTATTTTTTTGGGTACCAATCTTGTTTCTTGGTGGTGTGGTGTCATTACTCGTTCAAGCACTAAAGTTGAATACTGGAGTCTGGCTCAAGCTTCTACTGAAATATTACGGACTCAAACTCTTTTGAAAAGAAATTGTGTATTTCCTTCTCCACTTTGTTTTGCCTTTTACTCCAGAACGAAAAATATGGAAATTGAATTTTTGTGTTCGAGATCAAGTCTTGTCTTACCAGCTTGAAGCTTATCACATTCCCAGTCTAGACCAGTTGGTTGATTCTCTTACCAAGCCTACAGGCTTTCAGTTTCTTCACTCAAAACACAGTTCAGGATTTTATTTCACATCCCTCACCTTGAGTTTGAGGGGGTATTAGTCTTGTCTAAGTGTTGAATATTCTGTACAAATAAAATTACATTATAGTTTCAGAATCAATCATTTTACTGTTATTTTATAATTCTTAGATGGTTATGTTAGTTTGTAGCTGTTGTTTATTCATGAACAAGGTGAACAGAAAAAACAGAGAATGAACTAAACGTATTTTATTAACATCACATTGAATCATGTTTCAGTTACATATTTATACATGTCAGTGACTGACAGCTATTTTACACTTCACAGCTGGAGAAGAAAATAAAAGAGATACACTACAATAGAACCTACAGCTGTACAATACAAAATAACTATAGTATACTAACATTTATTTCAGTCTTTATATTTGGCTTTGTAATTGGGTTGTGCATGTCTTGTGGAATCCAGATCTTTCATTTATTTTAGTTGTGGTAATATTTCATGACACTAACATAATTAAAGAGGTGATTTTCTTTAGACCAGTGGATATGACTTATGTTGTTTATAGGCTAATAAATGCATCTAAGAGCATATGGAATTAGTGGACACCTCATCAATTAGGTTCACAATAAACTATTGGTATTGTGAAAAAGTGGACTTTAAACCTACCTCAAGCTCACAAAATTGACTTATAAAATGAGGTTTACACCCACTTGTATACTCTAAATTGGTCTTGTCACTAGTCAATATGCATCTCGTATGTGGGACTAGACATTAATGAATGGTCTGAAAACAGATGGAACAATATGCCCAACAAACAAAAAATTTTGCTAGTATAGACTCTGATGTAATGAAAAAAGGTGAATTTCAAGTCTAACTCAATCCCATATAATTGGCTTGTAATATGAGTTACACTCACTTATATATTCTAAATTGATCTTATCACTAATCGATGTGAGACTTTCAACACGTATAAAAGATAATTAACAACTAAAACATCTCAAAGACGGACTTATTATAATTAGGACCAAAAATTGGACACATCTTGTCTAATGCGAACATAAACCAATCTCAAAATCAATTATAGCATGATCAAGTACCAGTTTGCTCATATTGACACAAATGAAGAAAAAAGAAAACTCACAGCCACAACAGGAGCCCACAAGCTAACAATAGTGAAGGCATTGTTATTGTCTGCAAATTTAAAATCACAAATCAGTTAAAAAGACATATTTTTGTATATTATATCACTTATATTACGAGCAAAGAAATTAACCGAGATAAAATTAACGATCAAGGACACTAAGATTATTTAATAGTGAGAAATACACCTTCAACATACATTAAGAATGATGTGTTCTTTTAGACAGAAGAGGACCATACATAGAAAAATATCTTCATATTCCAGTTACGTTACCATCTATAATAGTAGAAATTTGCTCTATCACCTAAAAGATTTCAGTTCCACCAACCTTCCATTTCATTTTTTAATCAATTAATCTATAATTTAAAAGAATCAAATTAAATTGTAAAGGTTTATTAGACAAAAAATATATTTAAAAATATATAACACACTAGGCTGACAAGGTTCATAGTGATCTTTAATATAAAAAAATGCTGTACAGAAAAGACCAATACATTAAAATTAACCCACTAAACCAAAATCAAATAATAACATAATATACTTACTCTTTGAGATGAAATCATGCCATGAGTAAGTCAAGGACGGAAGATCAACAATAATATTGGTAGGTTCAACAAGAGGTTTAATCTGTAATATTAGGAATTAGAAATACATGACAATTAGTAATGACATTTTTAATTTTTACACATACAATTTACTATACAAATAAGATGTTATTTACATACTTATATTCATGAGATTTTATCCCTATCAAATGAAAATGGGCTTTTCATTATACGGCCATTGCTTTCAAATTGCCCAGTTTTCACTTTTTTTTGACTTTTCAATTATACACTATATGGAAATAAAATAAAACAAAAGTAGAAAATTAGATTTTCTTAAGTTATAAAATGAATTTACTAGCATATCCAATAAATGGAAAATGTATTTAATTAAAAAATTAGAAAATTAAAATTCAGAAAAAAAAAATATTTATTTATAGAAAATATTAAATTTAACTTTCACAATATAATAAAGCAGTACAATACATAATAAAAAATAAATTATATAAAGTTAAATTAATTAAATTAAGAAAAAAAAACCACTTTATTATCATTTTAATGGTTCACTAAATAACATTCATAATAACACACTTCATCAAGTTATGTTTTGAACATGTTTAACCTTCTTGTCAGTTGTACTTTATAATTTATTTATTTTAAATTTTTAAACTCTTTTAATAATATAAAGAAAGTCAAAATCAAGTGAAGTGAAAAGAAAAAAATGAATTAATTTTCCTCTCCAGTTTTCTCTGCTCCTAATATTGGTATTTTATTACCAAAATTACATCAATATCTTTATAAATAAATAAATAAATGTATTTTTTCACTATATATTGAAAAAATAGAATATTTATTTACTAGAAAGGTTATTAAATGTGTCCACTAACAAAATAAGTTTATTGCAATTATCATATCTTTATCTTGTAGTTATGAATAAAATGAAAATGAGGTCATGTTTATTTTTCATTTGTACATTTGTACAAAGGAAATAAATTTGAATTATAAAATAGTAGGAAAATATGACATGCCTGGAGAAAGTAAGCAAAAGTGAATTTGCAGGCAAGTACCACCAACCAAAAGGCCACATACCTGCGGCACTTAAAACAGATGAGTGAAATTACAATTGAAAAATCAATATCACAGAAGCAGCACTGCTGACAACAAAAAAGGTGAAACACGTATTCTGTAAAATTATCTCAGCTTGTACATGTAGCTTCTACACAGTACTTGTAGATGAAGAGGTAGAGCAGCTAAGTTCTAAATAACCCTAACTCAGCTAGTGGCAAACAGTGCCTGAAAGGAATAGCTAACTGAACTACTGATATACACAGAATGAAAAAAAATGCAAAAAAAATGTTAATAACAACCAATATAAGTCATCAACACTCTGCTAATGGTCACAATAACAACATGCATAATTGACAAGCTTCAAGAGCAGTAGATCACATGTTCTTTTAGAAAGATTTTTTGAAGGCTCAATGCATTGAAGTTACAAACCCAGAAACAAACAATTAAATAGGTGTCTCATGTTATTAGTAAATGTTTTTCACAAGATTTCATTTTCAGCAAGAAAACCTACCTGCAGTAATCACTTATTCCCTCATAAAGACCACGTCCAACATAATATCGTTCCTGAATTATGTCATCAAAAAGGTGTCATTACCAAGTCATAACATAACAGAAATAACTCAAAAATAAACAAGTCAAAAGTAAATAGTAAAATAACCCACTTGATAAATCCATTTGAAAAACTGAAAGAATGACTGATCAGACATTTCTGAAAGTGCATGACAAGCTGGAAATTTGAGCAACAGTGCAAAGCATAGTCGTACTGCAGCATAAACACCAAGAACAAGAAGGTATATCCGGAAATAGAATGAATTATCAGTGTTACGACTATTTCTCTCTTGCAAAACTTTCCTGCAATTAAGAAAAATTATGACGAATATTAACATAGCTGAGATGTACTCCAAATTACCAGGTTTGTTAATTGCAGTTTATATAGCCACCTAGGTGCGGAGGCAGGACAGGAAACAGCCTCATTGCTCCAGATAGTCTGAGAGCAAATTTGGTAAGGCAGCCACATCAGGGTATGGTGGTTCATGCAGTTACATCATGCAATTTCAGTACCCGAAGTTAAAATGTTTTGAAGCCAATAGTTAATTATCTAAAGTTGTATTTCAATCAACTATAAAAATAGATAAATACCCCAATATTAGAGCATGATTGTATCTGTCATGCATTACCTGCATCCAGAGACTGAATCTCCCTTTATTCTGTAATACTTCCAATGTGTGTCTAACTCGGCCATTACAGTTGCATTAGGTTGGCACTTATTAATTAGATTGTCAGCTCTAATGAACAACTTGCAAACATTCTGACTAAATGTCTAAAGGGACCAAGAATTCAATTTATATGTTCTAAACTTAGTACACATGATCTATATACTCCAGCTTGAGGAGAAGTGTTGAAATGTAATGTTTTTTTTGTAATTAAAGGAAATATCTTCTTAATTAAAGAAGATATCTATAAAATCTTCCTAATTAGAGAAAATACATGTGTAATCTTCTAGATTATTTTGTTTCACTATTTTCCTATTTTAGAAGATTAGATTGTTACAAATAGAGCAAAGGAGAATGTAATTGATATGATTGAGAATAATAAAATCATTCTTATTTTCAACTGTTTTTCATTCATTATTTTTTATGTATGAGAACACAACTTTAAGGTCAGGGTTTTAGGCAAGTGTCTTGCCCTTTCTTTGTATTCTATAAATACATCAGTAGAAGTGTAACAGTCTAAGGAAAATATAAATCGTTTTGCTTCATCTCATTTATTCAAGTATTATGACAACCAAGTTGTCATTCATAGCCTCTAATCAAGTATTTCAAGTAGTACTAATCCAGTATTTTTCATGATTGAATCCATCAGCTCAAATAATCAACTAACAGACATCTTGACAAAGGCATTGAGAGGACCACATTAGCTTATTTGTTCCATTCCAAGTTTTGTACATTCAAATTGTGTTGTGTGTGTGTCTGTGCATATATGAATTCTGCTGTTGAGTATTATTTAGCACACTCATGCATGTAAAAAAGTTTTTAGTCTTAACAATTGAAGTAGTCTGCTTCGTTTGCATTTATATTATATCTTGGTCGTAGTTTTTCACTAAAAACGCGTATGACCAAGTATATTAATTCTGTAAATATCAGCATCAACACATTCATGCAATCACTGCCTCATAAACAATGCTGGACAGCTCAACCTGTTCATTCCCACAAGATAACTCTGTTAATTACATGACAAAATAGTAAAGGGAGGATTATAAACTCACAGGTAAAGATATGTTACTGCAACAGAAGTCAAGCCACCCCAAAAAAACCTTATCACTAGTCTTGAAACAGCCATCCCCCTTGCAGTCGTGTATGCCCCAAATGTAAGTAACACATCTAAGAAACCTATTCATCATAACATAACAACAATATTTTAAGAAACACTAGCCATTTTAACAAGTAATAACTACAGAAACAGAAACATCTTACTTTTGGCAAAATTCATGATAGCAAATGATGGCCCAATGCTAAGTATTGTTTTAAAAGTATCCAAATTGATATGTCCATGATCGAAAGCAATGATAGTCAAAGCCTGCATAAAACAGGAATTAGACACAACCGAACTAAATCTGTTTTGTGATAAGCAATACTCATAGCAGTCTTTGTTCAATAATAGGTGTTGACTTGGTCTATTAAATCATGTTCCAGCCATGTCGTGAGATGTGCAAAATGCGTCAAAACGTCCAAGTAAAAAAAGACAAAAGAAAAAACTTAATTGCAACATGGTTGAGGTAGTGGGCATGTGTCAAAAGTCTGTCAAGTGTTGTGTCCTAAAAGTGTTAAAAACATCCAAAAAGATGATGGTGCTTCCTAAATCCATAATCAGAGTTCAAACTTCAGAGTAAACTATGGATGACAAGAAAGGAACCTGAAACATTAGTGCCAAGAAGATCCAAAGTCGATGGAAGCTTCGATACAGGTGAAGAAATGTCCTATGCTCAACAAAACTGCTTTTACCAGTCTGGAAACGAAACATTGAGCATACAAGAAAAGAAATAATATAAACATCATAATTATGAAGAAAAATCAATAAAAATAACAGTTGAAAAGAAGTTATAACTGACCCTTTTTGACCTTTTTGAAGGTGTAGGTTTCCGCAAGAACGGAGAATCCAGTCTCATTGGCCAACTTAATTCAAAACAAGCAGGCGACCTACATATTATTGCAAATTAGAATAAGTCCACCTAAAAGGAAAAACATTATGCGGTATCAAAGTGGCTAACCAAAAGTATTCATTGAAGTCATCATAATTCCTCCATGCTGAATGTGCAGCTTTCCCATTGTTGTTTCTACTAGCTTCCTGCATAAGATTTTAGGGGGACTCAATGCCTAGTGATGGAATACATAAAAAGAAATAAAAAAATCCATAACAATTCCTACGGATTTTACACCAGTGATAGGGAAGGTTGTTACAAAAATAGAGTTGGCATGAGTAGTGCGGAAATTGTTAGCCGGAGGAGAATATTTTTATTATTTAGTCTCATGAAAGAGAAGGGAAAGAGGGTGAGAGGGTTATGATCTGATTTCCCGATAGAGGAGCTACACTCTAGGCAATTGTAGGTTTCCACCTTTTGTAATTTCCAATTGCAAATAACATACAATTTTCCAGTACCATCATATTTTTGCATCTCTTTTTATCATTATAATAATGGTCCGTAACAAGAAGCATACAACATTTCAATTTGAAGTCTTGTAGCAAAGCAAAACCAACAAATAAATGAAAAACAAAATTTGAACACTAATGCATAATAAGATTTGGAACATAAAATTGCATTATAATAAGAGAGTGAATAAAGCAACTCACTGCAGCTAGCGTGTTATATATGGGACAAATTATTTTCTCAAGGAATTTTGCAGAACCGTCATCAGTTACGCAGCTGAGTGCAGGTGCAGCTTCTGGATGATCCAAAATAGCATCCAACTCTTTGGCCATCTATATAACAAATCATGGATAAAAAATTTAGCATTAAAAGTGATTTGAAATGTTTATAACTAAACTTCATCTACCTAAAATATTTAATATTATGAAAATGCGAATAACCTCAGTAAAATCAAAGCACAGAGCAACACAACACATATTCATCAGAAAAAAAGTGATCACTGATCAGGAATACTTCCATAAAAGGAAGATAAGAACAAGAGACAAACAATCTTATTGTGTCTAACCCTTTCAATTCAAAATATACAATTTAATTTTAACAGGTAGATCACAGTGTCAATTTACTTAAGGATTTTAATAAAATGTTTCAAAAATAAGGAGGTTTGAAATAACAACCCTTCTTTTTCAAGAGGGTACAAGTAACACTTACCTATTAGTAGCTTAAATTTGTATAAGTTAGACACTACCGCTAAATACAAAACGAAGAAATCTTTTCATGCATGTTAAGTGGACTTTAAAACACCACAAAATCGGTTTGTAAGATGAGGTTTGCACCTATATATATATATTCTAAATTGACCTTATCTTTAATCATTGTGGGACTTCAACCATATTCTCCTCACGTCGAGGTATATACATCTTATGTGTGAGACTAGACATTAATGGGTGATTCGATAACAGCCCAACAATAGGTGGAATGATATGCCCAACAAACAAAAATCTTTCTAGGATAGGCTCTAAGTAATGGCTCTAATACCATGTTAAGTAGTAGATTTTAAGTCTAACTCAACCCCACAAAACCGACTCGTAAGATGAGTCTTGCACTCACATATATACTTTAAATTAATTTTATCTCTAGTCGATGTGAAACTTCCAACAATACATGTTTAATTTACAACAATGAAGACAACTAGTGTTATCGATATCAAATATCACAAAATATCAAAGACCCAAAATTCACTTATGAAATTATAACAAAAAACTATAACGGGTTATGGTGGAAACATTGCACTTAAAAGAAATATGATATATGCATATAGATAATTAAAAAAAAACAAAAATTTAATGGTAATAGTCTTAGTGGCAGCTAGAGCAGGATGGCCAGTGGTGGCGAGCGACAGTGGCAAGCAGATGTGTGTGTCATTGATGGCCAGGGTGGCAAACAATAGTGCCAGCAGTGGCAAGTGCCAACAATGAATAAAAATGTTGTTGTAATGTAGATAGATATTAGGTTAACTTGTAATGTTTTTACTGGGTCGGGTAAGATCAAACTTTTAAGAATATGATAATTTAAGCTGATAACCCAACAAAAGATCAAGAGAAAAGAGTTGAAATTCCAAAATTTGTGGGGTCTAGGTAGAAATTAATGGGGTGTATGAAGCAATAGCCCAATAGATTTCTCTCATGGGTTGTTGCACTTTAGAGTTTATCTCATGCGCCGGTGCACACGGTGCACACCAGGGTTTCTCTCATGCTCCTGTAGAATCTTCACACATGTGTCACCGCACATCTGCCTCCTACATTTTCGTGATGCAAAAAGCGGCCACAATGAGAACCCAAATAGCCACTGCCATGTCATGGTAGCAAGCTGGAAATCCAATTCTAATTTCTGCCATTATGCCACCATAATTGCCTTTCAACAACACTGAAGACAACTCTAACTGTACAAGTCTATTTTGTAAAGTTGAGTTATGCTCAAAGTCACATTATTATAGCACAAGGGGTGTGTTAATTGCGGTTAAGAAGTGGACTTTAAGCCTAGCTCAATCCCACAAAACCGGCTTATAAGGTGAAGTTTACACCCAGTTATATAATCTAAATTGGCCTTATCTCTAGTCGATGTGGGACTTCCAACACACCCCATCACGCCGAGGTATATACATCTCAAGCGTAAGACTAGACATTAATGGGTGGTCCGATAGCAGGTGGAACAATATGTCCAACAAACAACAAATATCGTTAGGATAGGCTCTAACCTGGCTCTGATACCATGTTAAAAAGTGAACTTTAAGCCTAACTCAACCCCACAAAACCGATTTGTAAGGTGAAATTTGCACTCACTTATATACTCTAAATTGACCTTATCTCTAGTCGACGTGGGACTTCCAACAATTGTTATGGCTAAAGGTTATTCTAAATGATCTTAAAGTAGCATGTGAAGAACCTACTATCATGTATTGTGATAATAAGTAGCTATCAGCATTGTTCACAATCTAGTTCAGTATGAAAGGACCAATCACAAAGAGATAGATCAAAATTTTAACAAAGAGAAACTAGATAGCGGCCATATCATTACTTCCTACGTCCCATCTGGGCTTTAGCTGGCAAATTTGTTTACAAAAGGTCTTCCCACTGAGTGACTTCATGATCTCACATGCAAGTTGGGAATGATAAATATTCATTCACCGATTTATCCAAGCATATAGTGCAATGTCATTGGACAAGAAAGGGTGTGTCAAAAATCCCACATCAAATAAAGATATAATCAAATTATAGTATGTAAGTAGGTACCAACCTTACATTATAAGGCTGGCTTTCTATGTAATATAAGGCTAGTGAGGCAATGAAGATTCATAAAGGGTACAACCACCTAAGGGTACCAACAAAGTCAAGAAGACCACAATTTATTCATAAAACACTAGTGACAGGGAAGTGACTGTGTTGCTAGGGTATGTATGGCCCAGCACTTCTTTTCTCCTTGAGAAAAGGTTGGGCCAAACACTTTTTATAATAAGTTCTTAAAAGTATAAGTAGCTTACTTAACATGATCTATTCTAAAGAGGTGTCGGTAACAGCTAACGAGAGCTAAAAAAGGACCTTGTGACAATTTTATAAGCATTTTTATAGCTTATTTCAATGAACTTCACAAAGAAACTAACAAAAAACATGCCCTTTCTATTAGTGAAAATAAACTAACAATGCTAATGGAGGGATGACCTATACTATAAAGAGCACAATAAGAGACTTACATTGTGGAATATATAGCAAATACACTCAGGAAGAAAACGGACATTTGCAGCTTCACCCCAAATAAGAAAATACAAGGAAACCAAAGAAAGCTTCCTATCCCGGTTAATAGCCTCTAAACTGCACGAAGCATTAAATGGAATGCAATCAAATAAAATATGAAATAAACTGCACGAAGCACATTAAATGGAATGCAATCAAATAAAATATGAAAGAGGAAAGCCATTCAAAGAATGAGTAAGTTGAAGTAATAACCTATTCCAAGCAAGACGAATTCTCAAGTATCTGCACCACCTGATATAGTTATCTAGCACCTTCAAGAATACTTCATTGATTGTTTTCTCATCTATTTTCTGCACATTACAAAATTCAACAAAAAGAACGGAATGTCACAAAGCAATGTATTGTACATTTACCAAAGGACCATACTCAGTATACCTACAATGTAGAAGTTGTTAAACACCTATCACGCAAGATTTACATTTTCATGTCAAACTCAAGAATTTAAGCAACCTTATAAAGATTCAATAATCATTACCAGTAGACTCAAGATACAAACTTGGAAGAGTTTATCAAAAAGATATTGAAAGTGCTATTATAATATTCAAGCATAAGGTACAAACCCATCATAAGTCATAATGAAGAAACAATGAATAATGGACCAGGATGTCTCCACGCATGATCAGTAAGGATTAGAATAATAAAGAAAAGATAGAAAGAAGAGTTAAGTTTTGAAGTGAATTTGGATAAAACTTAACCCTGACACCTTCAAGAGCTAAGGCCCACCAACTAAATGTTATTTAGTTTTTGCTTTTTGTTGGACATCCCACTTAGAGAATTAGGGTGAAACAATAATATGAGTGCAAGCCTTCGTAATATTGAGTCAAACTTAAAATTTAATTTTAAACATGATATCAAATTCTAGCAAGGTTCTATATATTGAAGGGTTTTGACCAACAAGTGAGTTGACTAAAGTGTCGCCAAGTATTGTGGAATGAAAGTCGCCAATGATTAATAGAAAAATTTTGCATGAGTTAAATCATAACTCCTATAAAAGACAAATTTGATCTAGCAATGGTAAGATAAACAAGTTTCCCAACCAGCCTTATATATCTTTCCAAGTCAAAGAAATCTTCTCCTTGTACTATCATTGATTTCTTATTTCTATCCATAGGACAATCCATTGGTTTAGAATCAATCATGTTCGTCTCTTTTAGGATGTCAAAAGCATATTTCCTTTTACAAATTACAACTCCTTTCTTTGCTTGAGTGACTTCTAGCCAAGAAATATTTTAGACTTCCAAAATCCTTGGTCTAAATATGATTACATAAGTGTTCCTTCAACTAAGATGTCTAGCACCATCATTCCCATAAATAATATATTGCCAACATACAACATTAAGTAGACACATTTTCCAAGGGAGGTGTGACAATAGAAACAAAATGACTTGCCTCATTGCTTTTCTACCCAAATGTTTGGACATTGTGGTTTAATTTCCCAAACCAAGCACATGGAGATTGCTTGAGACCATAGAGAGAGCAACGAAATTTGCAAACCAAACCAAACTCCCCCCTAAGAAACGAAACAAGATGGTTGCTTCATGTGGACTTCTTCAAGATCGCCACGTAGAAAAGCATTCTTAATACCTAATTGATGAAGAGGTCAATGATGAAAGGTTGCCATGGCAAGGAAAAGTCTGATAGTATTCATTTTGCCATCTGGGAGAAAGAATCAAGATAGTCAAGCACACAGATACAGATATATCCTTTTGAGAGCAATCGAGCTTTAAGGTGATCAACTTCACAATTAGGTCCATTTTTTTATCGAATAGGCCCAACAACAGCCAATTGTCTTCTTTCCAAGTGGAAGAAGAACCAACTCCCATATATAATTTTGTTCAAGGAACTGCATTTCAACAATCATGGCTTGTATACAAGACAATCAAGTCCCTCTTTTTTAGCAGACATGTGGATTCCATCTTGCTCAAGGTAGTCATGATGTCCTTGGCCAAGAAACCACATTTCGACGACAGCATACCAAGATAGATAATTTGTCCCATTTAGCTTCTTGAAAGTAATTGAGGGTCTTAAAAAGAATGAAATAGCACCTCTAATTGCCATTTCTAATAAAAATAACAATGAAGGGAAGCAACAAAAACAAGGAAACTGGGTTTTCTTCAAGGATAGCTTCTGAACTTCACTGAAATGAAGTTGTGAGGGTAAAAACAGAGAAAGGAAGGTTCGGCAACAACTTTGGAGGTGACGCGCATGGGTGCAGCAAACAAAGACAGTGTGTGTGGTGATGCATGGCAGAGAACTAGCCCTCGACACCAACGAGGTTGGTTGTCGCTTGGAGAGGCTATCCAAATCTGGTGGTCACCGGGCGAAACTGCAACGACGAACAGCAGCGAACAACCGCGGACTGCAACGAAATGGTAGAGAACAGTGGTTGATAGTGTTGAACAACTAAAAACGGTAGTGGACAGTTGTAGATAGGGGCTGGACAACCGTAGACAGTATCAAACGGCGTCGAACATATGCAGAAAGCAATAACTAACACTGGTGGATAAGACAAGACAGAAACCAGAGCGTGATCGACCCACTCCGATACCAACTTAAGATTAAAATGGAGAAAAATATATTCTAAACGGCATAAAGAACCCCTCTTATAGTTCTTTATTTATATTAGAAGAAGATTTATACAATAGAAAGACTGAACATTAAAAGCATTGCCCTAAGCTACTTGGACAAAGAACTAGGTGCAGAGGTTATCTAACACTCAACTTCCTACCTTAAACTTAATGATTACATGGATTTTCTAATTATTTCAACAAAAAGTAACAAAATAATGAAACCCAAACAATGAAACTTGACTCCGACCCCAAATATCATAATGAAATATAGACAAGATAGAGTTGCACCACGATTCATCTCTTTCTAGCAAAAAAAAAATATGTTTCCCTAATTGACATGACTCATTCTAAGACTTGGAGTTTGCAAAATTGGGAATCATCCTTTTTAATTTTGATAAATATGGATGAGCCAAACTACCATGTAGAAGCCTAGGAGATGGGGATGCTAAACAAGAAATTGACGATCTAGTGCCTAGATAGTAAAGTCCCCTAGATTCATTTCCCTCACCAATCCATTGACCTGTATTGCGGTCTTGAATAACAAGAGAATTTGCATCAAAGGTTATAGAAAAATTTAAGGATTTAGTTAATTGACTAACAGAACTTAGGTTAAAAGGAGAATTAGGGACAAAAAGAACATGTTTTAGGTTCAAAGACAATAAAAAAGGGAGATTTGACCAACCCCTTCAGAAGTAACTACATCCATAGGCTAAAGTAATAACATAAGGAATTTTAGGATGAGAAATGAAAGAAAAGCATTATCATAAATGTAATCGAAATCACCTGAGTCAATTATTCAAGAACTTCGACATTCCAAGTTTTGAGATATGCAAGCTATTCACAAACTAGTGAAAGATCGTGCTTGGTTCTTGGACTTCAAACTGAGATATTATTGATATTCTTCATAAGAAAAATGTGGTTCAACCTTATTAGATTTGGAGATGTTCGTTGTCTTGCTAGGAAAACCATGCCAGGATAAGCCTTTATCTTGAGTGTGGTCAATTCTCTATCAAAAAGAACATAGACGACATTTGTATCCACTTTGAGAAAAGGAAGAAATATTTAAAAAAGAATTCACCAACAATCAGAATTACAAGCTACAATCTACACTCCCAAGCCAGTGCCAACTACAAAAGATGGAAAATAGTAGAGGAGGAAGAGTATGAGAGAGAGGAGAGAGGAGCCTCTCAATCAAAGATGAAACTACAGAAACAAGGGCAAGGAGTTGTTTCAGTGATAATAAGGTTGCTGACAGCTAATGACGATGGTCAATGGACAGTAGACATGGCTGCCAGCCAGCAATGACTGGCAAACTATGTAAGACTAATGTGATTGCCAACTGCTGACAGTCGCTACAAAGAAGGATCGACCTGCTTTGATACCAACTTGAGACTGAGAATATGAAAAGAACTTAAGTGATTGATTATCTCCCATATGACCTTTATTATTCATAGAAGAAAATTACATCAAGAATATCTAGGTAATTAATGCTAACAGTGCATAGGTACAACTGCTAGCCACCTACATTAAATAAATATTCTAACAACAGATATATTTATTACATATTCTAACAGCATCATTCAATGTAAGAGAGGAAGTGATCAATGTCTAATATATGGATGCTTAAAAGAATTTTGGGCAGAGAAACATCCTCTATGCCTTAATAAGATTTTGTTGTATATGATTGACCGCTTATGATTCCTTTGCCCTTAAGACTTAAATTGATCTAAATTGTGATCACTATTTTGTTGTAAATTATGTTCTTTAGGGCTTTGGAGTTCAACTGTAGTATTCGTTCATATAAGTTTAATATTTCATGTGGGTTATCGTTACATATCATAATAAAAATTCGTAAGATTTATTTGATTCAATTTATGTTCAACCAATTAAGTTACACCCCTTGAGTGACGCACAATAAAATATTGACACTAATTAATAAAGGACATCCAAAATTATTTATTCATGTAGATTGTTGCTGCCTTTGAACTATTTGAAGCAATTAGTATTTGGCGGTTTGAACTTATCATAGAGATACATGTGAGAATTATATTAGAATAAAGTTAAAAACGCATAATTATAAATTTAACTTGCACCACACGTGTGTGGGAGACACACAAAAGGTCCGCCCACAGGGATGCAGCTCTGCCCACGAGAGTATGGGAGATGCACTTAATCAGAAATTACATGAGAGATCCTTCTACATAGGTGTGAAAAGCGCACTAGAGAGATTATTTCTCTTAAGAGACTACAACCTCATTTAACCATGTTTTTCGTACTGAATTACAAAAAGTGGGTACAAAAGTTGTACCTTGGATGGTAGCTAACCAATGGCGTGGGAATCACTTATTATAATGTTGAGGAACAAAAGCTATCATTGTTTCAGTGAGCAAAGATCAAGTTTCTAGGACTAAAGAAAAAGTTTATATTCTCGTTTGAGGCATAGTAAACAATTGAACTACACCTTGAGATCAACAGCAAAGAACAAAATTCTAAATTTCAAAAAGCTGTTACTATATCACTGCCAGACCATAGTAAGTAAGAACTAGTTTGCTTCTATTTGTCAATACCAACCAACTTCAAGCTAAAGTTTTTTCCATCCGTCACTGAAAGTCTGATTATAAACAATTATGTGTCTTTTAAGACAGATAATAAAATAAAAATAGAATGTCTATAAACTGAAAATTAAATAATACTCCAAATAGTAAAACTACACCAAAATGGATTCATAAAAGAACTCACTGGATCAGTTTCGGCAGGTATTCCAAGTCTAGACTGCTTATTTGCTATCATCAAGATAACATTTTCACGCTGGTTCCTTACATTGTCTTTCTGCATGTGCAAAAACAAAGTTTATAACCAAGACCATTTAACACTTGCAGGAAAGCAAAACATCTAATCAGAGAAAACTAGTAATAAAAGAAGTAGCTTAATCATAACCATGAGTGACCGTTTTCCCCTATTAATTCTAAAAATTGACATTAGATACCGGAATAATTTCTTGTGTACAAATTCACTCAGCAGATCACAATTTATATAGAAAAAATCTATCTTGGTCTTGAATTGATCATAGTGCAGCTAAGAAATGGAATTTCCCCCGTTAACACATGAATTCAGATTCAGAAACTTGAATAAATTTCTTCAGTGTACAAATTCACTCAGCAGATCTCAATTGATCCATTTAGGTTTGGGAGATACACACAAATATCGGATTGAGTTTATTTGTTCCAAGCTTGGTACATACAATTTGTATGCT